ATACAGCAAAAGGGAAGCGGGGCATTTCTTAAAAATCCCCCATGCGTCATCCAGTAGGCTGAGCTGGCCATGGTGCTGATTGGATTCGATTAGGTGAGTCCAGTAGATATCGGGACTCAGGCTTCATAAATAAGTATCCAGGATAAGCTCGCTCCTGTCGCAGGTCAACCGATCTGCAGAAAAATGACACTGGTAAGTTGCAAGGAGGATGGGCAAGGAGACGGGCAAGTGTGAAAAAGATAGAAGCTCACTAAGAGCTGCATGGGAGCCACAATGATTCATTGACATGTATTTGGCCACATCTGACCAGAAACGTTGTAGGCTAGTAGCCTATAGGCTCGTACACTATATCATATGTACATATTATGTACAGATAAGAGATACATAATCAATAGCGTGATCTTGCAACGACTGTTTTTTTCGGGCGCGGAGCTGAAGTCTTTGGGTCACTTGGGTGCATCAGAGAGCCATTACGTGGGCGTAAACTTGGAAATCACTTGAGCTTCAGATTGCGAATGAAAAAATGAAATAGATTACTCACACACGAGTCGATCTGCAAAGCGGTGTTGCATCCGGCGGACATGGGGGCACTGCCTCCGCCACCCAGCGTTCATTGGAGATTGGAGGGGGATGTGCCATGTGATTGTGATGATCAGGTTGGCTGAAATCCAGCGGGCCCATAACTGGTGGGGACAATGTGGCTTGAAGACCGTGAAGCAACGAACGAAGATGCCCATAGTCAGGGTCCTCTGAGAACGCAAGAGAGCGCGTGTAGATGAGAATACTTGTGAACTCAACAGGAATTCCATCGCATAAGTCTTCAATAGTGGTGTTGACCTTGCGCTCGAGAATAGAAGAGCTGGAAAGCTTCTCGTCACTAGTCAACCATGGAAGGGAGCCGCGCAACAAATAAATCAACATGTATGTAAGCGACTCGAGGTCATCACGACGACCTGGGTCAACTCCTAAGTGGTTGTTGATCGAAGCGAACGCAGGAGTGCCAGTGAGACGTTGATTCTGACGAAATGGGATGTGGACTCTGGTTGCGGTGTTCCAGTATTCTTTTGCGATACCAAAATCGATAATGAATGCAGTGTGCCTCAAATGGCCAAGACCCACCAAGACATTCTGCGGTTTGATATCACCGTGAACGTAATTGTGTGAGTGGATGTACTCAAGACGTGAGAGCTGAGAAACAGGTTAGCCTACTTGCAAAAACCCAGCACAAATCAACTGACCAGCTGGTCCCCCAAATTCACCACAGCGTGAAGGCTGAATTTTTGATTGTGCGTGAGGAAAAGATTGTGAAGTGATGGCCCAAGGAGGTCAAGAACCAATGCGTGATATGTTGACTCTCTACCAAACCAGAGGGCGCGAGGTATCCCAACTCCACCCTCGAGTCGTTTCAAAATGGTGTATTCGCGCTGTACGGAAGACGAGTGGCTGGCAATAGGTTCGAGTTTGATCACAACTGCATCATCTTTGATGATGTTCTGTGTGTGGTATACAACAGCTAAGCAGACCCAGGGTTCATGTTGAGTTTTGCAATTGTAATCAGCTAGTGGACGACGCACCGTATGAACCAGATCCCACAACATCTCTGAGTCTGAATCTACCATCAACTCGTATCGGGACCTTATGATTCATGGTAGTACATGATAACCTGAGCCTTGAGGAGTACAAAAATTCAACAGGGAATCCAACCGCATCAGTAAATCAGAACGGTCTGTACAGAGCTGTACAGCACGACAGATGGACAGCTTGGTCCCTTCTAGCCAGCTCACCACAGTAACACCCTTCCCTGTCAATCCCTGTACAGACACTCACAGACACCCCAGAGCTTCTTTTCTGTACACAGTTTGCCAGAAAATTTTACTGTATACTACTGTCTAGAGTACTGCTACTGTAGGCTACTGTCTAGAGTACTACTACTGCACACCGCATCTTCGTCGCTGCACGATCCTCGAATCTAAAAATATGGAGAACGACCAAAATAGATGCATTTCACAGATACGCGGAATCGAATACAAATGTAGGTAAGCGGTAGTAGACAGCGTAGATGTGGAAAATTGAGATCATGAACGCAAAACACCCAAACCTAATCCAGAACGACTCGCAGATGATTATGCTTTGTCGTGTCCCTCCCGTCGAGCTTGCAAGACTCCGCCCTGTATGAGTTCAATGAGTGTCAGTGTCCGAGACTTCATTAAAAAAAACTTACCATCCTTCTGCAGCCCAGTGGCGAAGTTGCCGCCTCAATTTGGGTCCGTGGTATGGGTCTCTGTTGACCTCGTCGAGTAGAACAATTATCGAGTTGTAAATAGAGCCATATTCTTTGGCGGAGAATTTCGGGAAGAGTTTGCCATTGCCGTTCTTGGAAAGGCCATCCAGGACGCAATGATACTACAAAAATCAGTTTGAATGAGTAGCATATAATATAGATGAATAAAAAAATACCGCGGTGCAAATCAAAGCCAGGCTATTCAATGGTATCGCCTTCTTGAAAATCTCCGGCCTCCTGTGAGCGACACGATAAGATCCGGTGTATAGGAAGCTGATGGCGGCCTCTCGGAGGGCAGGGTGAGCAGCATTGTTAGTTTTTCCCAGGTCATCCATACCATTGCGAAGAAAGAGCGAGTCCTCCAAAAGCACCGTAGCGGCGTTCTGTACCCATGCGGCACGATCTGGCGCAGCGACTTCAGGTGGGGGGATGAGGTTATACATGCTGGGCGCTATGGCGACTGCTAGTTTTTTCAGGTCGGAACGCCATGTTGACAAGTCTTCGAATAGCTAGGATAACAAAACATCAGTATCTAGACATGCGGCAATCGACGCACATACCAGTTTTGCCATGTCGGGCTTGTGATCGGGCCACAGACCTAGTAGATTTCATGAGTAAAACATCACGAGGAAGAAAAGGACATACCTGCTTCAACCTGCTTACCGCCTTCAAGCCATTCTACGAGAGATGATGTGAGAGCCTCGGTGACGGAAATGGGCAGATCATCAGCCAAGGTCGGGAACGCGTTCTCGATTGCGTGCTGGGCACGGCAGTCCCCTTTGGCATCCTCAAGGAAGGTCTTCCAGCGTGGCGGGTACCAGCCAAGTTGAGTGGGCTTGGGTCCTTCAGGTGATTCCTTGGATCTTGAAGATTTGACCGTCGTAGCTGGGATTTTCGATTCGGTGGACTTCGCTTCAATGTCTTTTGTGTCGGAGGATCAGGAGGAGATCAAGCAACTCAGGATTAGGAAGACGGGGACGTCCGTTTTTCTTGTGGTGATTGACTAAGACATCATCTGGCTTGGGTTCAGTGGCCGCCGGCTGCAGAAAAAAAGAAATTAGCGGGCTTCAGAAAAATAATTGAAATATACCTGGATCGTGTCATCATCGCTGGGGCCGCTTTCCACTGCCAAAGATCTCTCTGCTGTATGATCTTCTTCGTCGCGGGAATATTGGAACTCGAAGTCCGTCGGAAGAGCAGTGGTGACCTCGGGTCGAGGCGGTGGCACTTCCTTCGAGAAACCTGTCCCTCATTTAGCGCTCATGACGACGGAAAAACCAGCGACTCACCAGGATGCGCGGTATGGTACCCCTGCGATGCTCCCCAACCAACTTCCTCATCAACTTCCTCTTCGTCATCAGTAGTACCGCTATCACTGCCCTCACTGGATGCATCTGATCCATCAGACTGTCCTAAATGTCCATCGCCAACTGAGTGAAGGGCTGGGTCCAAGTTTTGATAGAAAAGAGTGTCAGATGGACGCGCAGCTGATGTGGACCTTGAAGGTACCGGTGGCGCGAAATCTTGCTTTGCAGATACGGTGATGGCAGCAGGAAGGTATTTGATCGCAGTCCTTGAAGGTAGTGGAGGCACAGAAATTTGGTTTGCGGGGGTGATGGGGGCAGGAAGACATGTCGTGGCGACAGTTTGCCCTGGCTGCGGCCACATACGGGTTGTTGAGCACTTGCAAGTCAGGTTCTGTGCCAGGGGGTACAATGGATTGAGAAAATCCAAACCTTGTGCCAGCTTCGCATTGATGGAAACTGGGTCGGTCATCTGCTGTCTCCAAGCTTGAGGGAGGGATAAGAGCATTCTTTGTCACCTTGGCTTTCTTCCCCCGAGGTTTAGTAGGAGTCGCAGCAGGAGGATCCACCATATCGGAGGCACTATACGGCGGAGGGGGTTTCTAAATGTATTCAGTATTGCCATCTGTAACTACAGGTAGAATAATATACTTACCTTCGCACGACTTCCACGGCCCTTACGAAGTGGTTCTGGAGCGAGAGGGTTGACTGGAACATTCGAGTCGAGGGAGGTGGAGCCCTTGGGTTGGTTGGTCCGTGCTGGGGCACCCAAGAGGGCACCAATTCTCTCGAGTTGATCAGCCCTACCTCCCGTTCCTGCACCTGAACGTCCAGAACGCCGAGGGAGCAAGGAGCTATCTTCATCTAGAGTCGGCTGCTGCGACATGGAGAGTGACTCGGCCCCAGCCCGTGATTTCTTTGTTGAAATCTCTTGCCCATCAGAGTCCGTAGCTTTGCGCTTTGATCTCTTCTTCTTGGGGCTACTGCGGGTAGGATTTTGACGTTGGGTAGGCATGACTGGGGCCGTGGACGGGAGGAATATACTGTGGAGCAATAATAAGTAGCACTGATTGAACCAGATTATCCCGGCTTTTTGTAGTAGTCTGCTGGCGGCGGAATGAGAATGATGATCACAAAAATGATTTCGAAAATATGACTCTACCGCTGGCCGCAGCCATTGTGTAAAAGGCTGGGAATTTTACGAGTCGACTGTTATCCGTAGGCCGCATATATAACGTAGTAGAAAACTTGCAAGTCAAATGTTGAGGGTAATGATGCTACAGTTACGTCGTTGAGGAAGGTTGGATATATTTATCATGTCACATGACTCGAACAGAATACATGCATTAATCATCGAAAGTTTACCTAAACATTTGCGGTAAAAATCAAGCTAAAGTACGTTTCGCTAAACACCCCTATCCAGTCTTACTCCTTTTTGCCTTGGGTGCCATTTCCATTGTCCATCGGTAATCAGTGACTCCGAGTCGCTTGTTGTTAAGGCGTGTCCGGGGCACTGCAGTCTCGCGTATGGGTGATTGTGACTCCCCTTCTTCGCCACCGCTCCCAGAGCCTTCTGCATTAAGCCCTTTGAGTAACCACTGTGAGACGAGGAGCTCAGGCGATGGCTCATCGATCGGAAGAATCGTGATATGTCTCTCCAACATCCCGATTATGTCGTTGAAAGTTACCCTACTCGGTTCTCTCATCAGATGATACCATTCCAGCGCGACAGGGAGGAGTTTTTTGAAGTATGGATGGAACTGCTCGGTAAGTTCCTTGACGTAGTGCTCCGTGTGCCAGAAGAATGTTGTTTTGGCATCACAGCACAATTTGAACTTGTCCGCGGACCATTGGCCCGGTATCCAGTCGGGACCTTGCTTGAGAATACGTTTCATGCCAAGCGGACCTCTGAATTCGATACAGATCCAGATGAAGATGTAGAACATCGACTCAAGGTCATCGTGGTAGGTATGCTTGATCAGGGGGGCAGGGTTCGGTTTCGAATCAGAGGCCTTTTTGCGTTCATCCGCTCCATCTGGATCACAGAGGTGGAGCTGCAAGAGAAGCGCTCGAGACATGAACTGGTAATGTGCCCTAGACATTCTTCGTTAAAAATTGATATTCTTTAGTAAAATCAAAACACTAACCGTGCCCCCGACAGCATAGTTCCCCTTCTTCAAAATACTCACGGCGAACTCCCAGTCTATCAGCATCCCAGTGTGTGTCTTTCCCGTCGTCCTCGATCATCGCATTGTTCAGACTACAGTCGCGGTGGAGAATATTGCGCTCTTCCACCTGCATCCTTCTGAACTAAACAATAGGTAAGTAAAATCTGTGATACATATTTATATCGTACTTACTCTTCACGATATCGCGTATTGAACTAAGCAACTCTAGCCTCGTGCGAAATTGATGCAAAGGTCTCGCGCGCAGGCTTCAAGACGAGGCGAACGTGAGTTCGAAATGTGTTCTTAAGGCTGCGCAGAACTTTGTACCGGTAGTTTGCAGTTTGGTCGATTTTGTTCCTGGACTCGACGATCCAATGCTCGACGAGCTTAGGAACCCCTCGGACTCCATTCATCTTCCTCATCATGTTGACTTCGTTCATGGCCTCCTTCTCTCCCCCCAGGACCCAGTGGTCCTTTATGATGAATTCCTCGTTGTCTTTCCTGGCTAGGTAACAAACGGTACCACGACCAACAAGACCCTGGCTGGAGAAGATGATTTCGAGCATATCGTAGTGATGGTCACCGACGCGAATCTTGCCGATAGGTTCTGGAAGGGGTGCGCGGAGAGGGTCTTCGGGTACTTCGATAGGGAACTCCAGTGGGAAGTCGTCGTTATCTTTCTTTTTAGCGGTGCCCTTCGTGTCCATGGTATTAATGTGAGAGGACGTGCCCTCACTCTCCTCACTCTCGCCCTTGCTCACGTTCTCAGCCCTGCCCTCGCCCTCACTCTCGCTTTCGCTCTCACCCTCACCCTCGCCCTCGCCCTCACCCTCACCCTCACCCTCACCCTCACCCTCACCCTCACCCTCACCCTCGCCCTCGATATCATCCTCGCCCTCGCTCTCGCTCTCGCCCTCGCCCTCGCCCTCACTCTCGCCTTCACCTTCACCCTGGTTCTCGGGCAATGCAGTCGCGTCCTCGGCTTGCGAGGATTTCAACTTGTTCTGGATATGGAGGGGGAGCCAACTCGAGCGCGACTTCAGCGTTTGATCAAGCGTGTGCTTGAAGATGTTTATTGAGGGGTCATACCCGATACACTCGAGATCACCAAAGACGATGCTCGATAAGATTTGTAAGTACTTGTCAGGTTGTCGATCGATGTGAGTGCAAGCACTTACGACGCTGCCTGAGTGGTCGTATAAGTGGACACGAAGTTCGCGATAACCAGCGCACAACGAGATCATCAGAGCGAACCTTCTCCAGGGCTGGTGTTTCAGAAGCAGGTAAGCTTTAGTGTCGAGAGTCCTTGCAAGGGTACCAGCAGGTGTGTACGGGCTGGGTGGTCAGCTCACATACTGCCTTGATGGTGTCCCATCGGGCCTCCAGATCGTCCAATAAGGCCAGATCTGGTTTACACTTGATCGCATCGCCAGGTACTGGGCGCGATGAGTTCGCTGCACTCCATTTGCGCGACAAATTGTGTTTTTTCGCAAGCCCAGGTTTTTTTGTGAGTAGCAGCAGCAGAGACGACGTTGAAAAAGGACCCGAAGATATACTCTGTCGCTGATGATTGATCCAGGTCCTCCTCAACGACTATCGGTTCATTCCCATCGTTGGATGGGTCTGATGAGTCGCTGGATGGCTTGTGATGGCTTCCCCCATCAGCCGACATGGACTCGGAGAGGTCGCTTTCGGTAAGGTTACTGGCGGGTGGGGTATGGGCTGATTTCGTGTTTGTAGCTTCATCGACCAAGACCCACTCTCCCTTGCTGCTCTCGGCTTCTTCCTGCTCCTTTTTTTTGTGTTCATACGATGATGGAAGCATCCAATTCCACCGGCGCTTTTTAGTATCATACAGGTTGATCATGGGAGTCCCATCAACAACAAAAGTATCAAGATCCTCGACCCTTGCAGCTTGCGGAACCCTGCTCAAAGGAATTACAAGTTCTTCTGCTGCAGGAATTTCAGTAGTGAAGGATTGGAAGATATACGTCAAGAGGTGACCGAGTTCGTTTATGTTGGTAGGTTGACGTTCCTCAAGGATCAAGCGGTTAAGTTCAGAATTTGTGAGTTTATCCATCGTTTGGGTGTTGTGTATTGGGGGAGCTGTCATGAAGGATGACAGCTTCTTCCCAAGGTCAATTGTTCGATGGTGACGACGGAGTGGCATGGTGCGCAGGACGGACAAACAGGTACGTCTCGAAACATTGGCAGGCACTACAATACTATACAGGATGGTCGCAAAATGGTCTTATCTCGAACTAGATACTATGCTGAAAGGGCGAAGAATTTACTTTTTTCCCAAAACTCGTTCAACCAAAACTCCGCGGCATGTTCCATGCTATTATATGCAGTGAGGCGCTTATCTGCAGCGGCTCCAAACCGAGGGATCAGATTGACAGGCGCCCGCAGTTGAGAGACGGGTATGACATCCCCCATCCGATTTCCATTCGAACGTTTTGCTCGCTTGAGCAGGTGCAGTTGCGTAATGGGATCACGATCACTCAGTAAGTCGAAACGTTGAACATAGGTGAGAAATTGATCTTTCCATGGCCATTGCGTGCCACTCTTACCAATAGGCCGCATGATAAGCCTGATCTGAGCGACAGTGTGACCTGCAGGGCAAGTAGCGAAGGTAAGGACAAGTGTTGCTGCACAAGACAGAAAACTCACCTGAGAGACGGCTACTAGGCCATGAATAACCTGCGTTTGTCACCACAATAGCTGTGTCATAACGACCCAAGGTCCAGAGGCCATTGGGTGGAGCGCAATTGAGTGTCTGTGCGGGTTTGATGATCTGATCATCGTGCAAGTCTGTCTCTTGTAAGCGTATTTTAAACCAGACTTGGATTGTGTTGAAAGGAAGGGCAGCCGTAGGTCCAGATCTCCTTGGGCCACCTATCGCGTGAACATGCTGATATCCATGAGTCGCCTCGCGCTGGAGGAAGTCAGCAATGGCCGGTCGCAGGTCGGGTAAGCCAAATTTGATGGCGGCTTCATCGACGGTGATATTCCTGATGGACGGATGATACCCAAGATGAAAGGCGGTGCGTGCAAAGCTAAATGAACGCAACGGAACAGGCACTGAACCCTCTGTCTTGTACTGGAGAGCCCTAGCCATGACAAAATAGTTCGTGACTGGGCGAGGTTGCTGTGATGTAGACAGTTCGGGGGGAACATCATGCGCGTCAATGTCATTATCGATGCTGGGGTCATCACCATCAGGGTCTACATCCTCTGGCACCTCAGCGCTGTGACTCTGCTCAAGATCTAAAAGGCTCGTGGCGAGCTCGAACCGACGACACTTTTCCGCGCGGTCCAGGTGTCGACATATCTGAGGATCGTACTCTCTGTTATTGCTAGACCTTGCGGGATCTTTGACTTCGGTGATATGAGCATGTTCAGTGATATCTGCGGACCACTGTGCTGTGACGCCAGAGGTGCGGATACTGGAAACAACGCTCTGCATAAGTTCCAGCTTGGGTATATGCCAGTGGATGATGGGTTTATTGCCCTTCCCCCGGCGAACCCCAGCGTCAATAATCGCGTCCTTGTGTGCATGGAACTCCCGCAATGCGCTTGAGATACGCTCAAGATCATCATCATCAAGGCGCGGCGACTGAGCGAGATAACGGAACTGCATGAGAGCACGTAATGCGATGATGATATGGGGAGGTGCTGCGTCTGCGCATACTGCAATGATATATCGCTGGATGTCTCGTTGGCAGCGACCGGTGACTTGTTTAAGCTTCGAGATGCCTCCAGGAAAGTGCCGATAACCAGCGATGGGCTGTAAGATAGAAAATCGGAAATTGATCTCAGATTCTCCAACAGCACAGATGAGCCATTGTGCATCGTGGTCGAAAAACTGCTTATGAAGGTGGTGTAGGGATTCTGGTGTGAAGAAATGGGAGGGTTCTGCTAGTATCCAGTCCCGATAGAATGGTTCTGCGACACCATTCAGACGGAACTTCTGCGCTTCACGGAAGAAAGCCTCGAGGTCAAGGGGATCAGCGCGTGAGTGGACAACGGCAAGCTGTGCAAGAGTCGTTGATTTCGTGCGGGGTTCATGCTGGAAGTCATCCCCGAACTGTTTGTACATCGCCATGGTCACTGGTGACGTCTTTCCACCAACAGTCGCCAGCATCATGGCTTCCGGAGTGTCAGCGATATAACTTGCGAGTGCAGTGAAGCAGTAACGACTCTTCCCAGCGGGGTCAGATAACATGACGCCCTTTCGAGCAGCCTGCTTCAATGGGTCTAGAACTATGTCTAAACACTGGTGTATGAGGCGATCCTCCAATACACCCTTCATCCGCTTCTTCTTATGAATGAACTTCGGGACCGGTAGTAGGGCGGTGAGGACGAAAGAGCTCGAAGAAGATTTAAGTCGCGTGTTCATATGTATATTGGCCAGGCTAATAAGAAGCGGATGAGCTACACGATCGCCTGTCAATGCGGTGATATTCGTTTTGTCGGAAGATAGGATAGTACTGAGGAGGGTCGCGCCACTTGGTATTGCTGACTTTAAGAATACGTGAGCCGGAGACATTGAAAATCGACGTCTTACGCACCTGCATGTTCCAAGCACCACTTCCCGTCATCCATTCGGTATAGACACGACACTGCTTCTCCGCCGTGGTATACACCTTGCGAGGTGTGAAGTCCATACGATTATGAAACAAGGGATGGTTGAAGAGGGTCGCGATACACTCTAGAGGGTCACGCCAATAGAGAACCACGGGTGACTTTGTAGGATGAGACGTAGGAATTATTTGGGACATCCAACGTGGACCGCTGGGCAGCATCTCCGCTCGACCTCGCAGTTCTTTGGCCGAGCGGAATGAGAAGGGCAAATCTTTGATCTAAAATGGCCTACAGTCAATGGAGAGCAGTGAGTTTGAAGTTCGGGCACTGACCATGTCGAGCGATAGGAAAGAATCAATCTTCCCCATGCTCAGCCCTGAACGCAGTAGCCATGCGGCAACCTGCCAGTCTCTCCGACTGCTAAATGGAAAATAAAGGTTGGTCTTGCGATATACGCTATTTTCATCAGCGTCAAACAGGTCCAAGAACGTGTACCCATCCTGATAGGCAAGTGGTGGATCGGGAAAGTAATCTACCGCTGCTTCTTTGCCCTGGTCCTGTATTTCATCATGCTCTCCCAGTACAATATCCTCTTCTTCACCGTAAAAATCGCGTGCGTGTGGATTCGCCTCCTCTCCGACTCCTGGTTCATGCGAAGGGATAGGTTCATTGTCGTCTAATGAGTCCATGGGATGATCTTTAGCGGGCGGGATGATGGTATTGAGCCTGATAAGATCATCCAGCCAGGTGTTGCAGCCAGACCGGGGCTGGCTCATATGACGAGCAACAGACGTATGGTCCCTGAGGAGTTTTCCGCACGATGGACAGTGAGGCATGAGGCAAGTTGCATTGCTGAGATGTCGGCATTTTCCGCTACCGACTCTCTTACACTCTATCATGAACATCAATCTGCGATCGTTGTCAGCTAGCGCATCAGGTACAACAAATGAAAATATACTCGACCCACATCTTTGCGAAGGGCCGGCGCCCTGGAATTTTTGACCTATATGAAGTTTTAAATGCTGTCAATTCCATGGTGAGGTCAATCGAAGTTTCTTAAATTTTAAGCACCTTACTTTTCAACAGTCGAGACAGGATCCAACTAACTCAGAAGCCAATCTTATCATGAACCTTGTAAGAGCGAAGCGCGATGTTTATCAGGCACAGAAAGCACTGGCAGATTGTATGATGAGGGAAAATGAAATGTTGGCCAGCCTACTCAGATTTCGAGCCGAAGAGGCAGAGAAGCGGCTGGATGATACGGACATTGGACTGGGGTGCATGAGAGTTGTCTTCAAGAACCACGGATGGAGTCATACTATTCCTCCGAGTTCTTCAACTCGAACTTCAAGTTGTAGGAGTCGTTTGCAAGCCGGTAAGCTCGTTATACTATGACATGATGCAATGACGTTCTGAGAAGCCTGCAGGAAATTCAGTGATTACAGTAGACACCACAGGGGGCCGGTGCCTCACTGCCCAGCTTGATTGATTCGAGCGCTCAGTACTTCGTAGAGTTTCTCCTTGTATTGATTCATGTTTCGTACTACTACGCTGTTATGAATACCCCGGCGTACATATGTGATATGCAATTCTTGTTATTTTTAGATCCGGCGGTGTGAATCTACTAAGTTCAAAATCATCATGTCTTTGCATCGAAAACTACAAAGTGTTGTACATTATGATAGCGCGCCCGTGGTACTACTTACTACTAAGGAATATTAATATAAGGCAACGTTCTGTGGAACTGTGAGTGACTGGAGACACTATATACTTTGTGGTTGTTTGTTGCTGTGACTCTGGCGGCACTGTGGAGTCTGTAGCTGGCTGTGAGAAAAACACAATTCTCGTGTTTTCTGTGAAGAAAATACTAGTTTACTGATGCGGGAAGGAGACTTAAAAATAAGTTGTGATTCCATCAGCTTGAGCCGCCGTTCATGAATTTTGGCTTACAGTTGGTTCGTGGCAATCTGTGCAGCTAATGAACCGAACCAAACTATACATAGGTGGCCTAGCTCACTAGGATAACCCAAACACTGGCAAACCGGTGAACGCCAAGCCGGAGCGGGCCGTAGCCGAACTGCGGTTATACTACCAATGGGAACGTGTGCGTGTCACTGTACTAACACTTGAGGCCTCGAAGAAAATGATGCCACGCCGGTGCATGCGCTGGCATCTGTTTCATTCCAGTGATGCAAGCAATTGTGTATAAAAGCCAACATACTAACATTGAACTTGAAAAAACACCATCAAGTCTCAGAAATGAAACTCACTTCACTCACCACTATGACCATATCTGGTGCAGTGATGGCTGGCGTAGCCATCGCATCTAACGGCCTGCTGATAACACCCCAGAACCTACCCTGCAGCCCCTCTAGTGAGCACTTTTATGGCCTACGCGTAGACCTAGTAGACCGCATACTTACAGCTATCCACAGACCAGGCAGGGTGCTCGACGGGCATCACAGGTTGGAACAGCGACAACGATTTCCGGTATTATTGTGGATCTAGTGGCACAATCACATCCTACACAGCGTGTGATTGTAAAAATTGCTGTATCGACGCTGACAATGGGCAAGACGTCTTCTGTTGAGCCAGAGTTAGCCAGTCCTTTCCTTCCGACTCAGAGCCTGAGTGTTAATATGTTTGCTTAGCATGTGTTCTGAGGCTCGAAGGAATGCGGCGGGTGACATAGTGTCAAATTTGAATATGGGATGATCCAGCTTTGTATTATGCAATTTTGAATTTGGCCTTGGTCAACTCGTAGTCAACACTCCGCCCAGCTTCGGGGTACCATCCCTTACTACTACACACGGTTGGAGTCCAGCTCCGTATCCTCGTCTCCATGTCTACAGTGACTTCCGTTTCTACCTGTTCCAGTGGCTGGCATGTCGCCGAGACTCAAAGAGGGTCGCATCGTCCGTTCGGAACTTCGAAGTTGTGAATCATGAGGGCAACATAGGTATCTCTTTAGGCTTTACCATTCTATCTTAATTGGTAAAGGCGCGTCCCTCTCACACGTGTTTTGTATCTCTCGAATGACGTGCGAAGCAGCAGCACCCATCCAAAACTCACGCTATCGATGTTCGCAGCGTTCGGCCCCGCTGGTTTTGATCAAAGGACTTCCACAACGGAAGGCAGATCCAAACAATTAACAGGCCCATGTAATCAATACCGCAGGCGCCAGGTTTGAGTCACGATGAGATGCAAGAGGCCGTGAAGAAGTGCTATAGCATAGTGCAATGATATGATTTTTGGAGGCTGGAGCCAATTGAATCCAGTCATCATTGTCTAAAGAATCAAGAAGGTGCTTTGTAATGCCGAATATACAAACGTGGGCAATAGACGAGGGCCGCATCGTGTCTCTATGATAGTCACTTTCCCTCGCAGGCAACTTGACCTCTCCAGATCATCTAGCCACGAAGCGCTCATAATCACCTGGGCGACGATAACACCTCCAGTGACGTCGGTGTAGACCAACAAGAGTTAGGTCTAGGAACAAACACTATAATTAGTTACTACCTAACAAAAGGTTAGCTAGGCTAAAGTTAGTGACGTATCGCGTAAAATAAGTGCCGAAGGTGAAGAGCTCTACAGTGAAACGCCAACAGTCGGTACGAAGAAATAGGGCGAACACGCGAAACGCTTTCCTCCCCATAAATCAAAACACAAAACTACGCAAACATATCCTCCTCACTCACGTCCCGCATCCCACATGCTGCCCACATAATAGCAGCACTCAAATCCTCCACACCATCATCCTTCGTGCCCACAAGCCCGTTCACCTCATATACCGACTTCGTCATACCAAGGGACACTTTAATTGCTGGAGGCCCAGGCACGTACTCCTCGAGCTCCGAATCTAGCTCGTCATTGGCTGCAATCCCACCTTTCTCATCTCGATGGATGAGCCGTAAGATGTTCTTCGCGGCAACCTCTGCTTGGTAATATGCTGTATGTCCAGCTTTGATCGCGTCGAACGCGTCTGCTGCATCGCCCACAACGAAGATATTCGGGTATAAAGTCTCTTGTGGCGGGTTGGACTCAAACAGGGTACCCGTGGATGAGATGGGTGACGATGGCGTGGAAGGTGTGCCAGCGTGTGGGACAGATGCCAACGGCGGCGACAATGCTGACTGTCTTGTCGCTGTTTTTGTGTCAAGATACAGATTCTTGAAGCGATGCAATATTTTCTTCATCCAATGCAATGGTTTCTTCCACCAATGCAGTACACGATCATCTGTATCTGCCTTAAACTCGTGAGGTTTAGGAGAAGGTGGTGGGACGTGAAGTTGCATAGTCCGCAGAACAGATGCCAGTCCAGTGTCTGGAACGACAGTGCGAGGGTCCATATCCCGAAGGAACCCTGTGTTCGGTATTTGACCAGTACATAGGAGCTGATGATGCGCTCATTTAGATCACTGTCGCTCGTGATGTTGGAGAAGCCTACCAGCAAGTCGGCAGATATCTCCTGCCCCGATATAGTTCGTACTACGCGTGGTTCTGAAGACCCTTTCGGAACGGATGTGTGTTGGAGAGACTCAAAATCAAGTCGCTCTCCAAGAATAACTTGAATATTCAACTCCTGCAGACCCTGAAGGGCTGCGTCATAGCTTAATTGAAATCACGTGATAAACAACACGTAAAACTTGCCTTCTTCATGCATCGCGTCGTCAAACTTGGGCAACAAACGATGACGAGAATGCAGGAGTGTGACGCGCTTCTGCGGGTAGACGGCAGCGATGTCAGACGCAAACTCTATGCATTAAATAGGCATTAGACACGTCATGGGCGTTACAAGGACATGACTTACGAATACCAAGCGCACCGCCCCCTACGACCAGCACGGACGTGGCAGCCTCGACGCGTCTCTGGCGTTCTCGGAGGGATGAGATACCCTCTGGCTTCGTTCCTCCGTATGTTGATATTTCTGGTGATTCCAAACTCGACCTCGCTCCACCTTCTTTTTGGTGACTCCAAAGGTCTATTGGCGAGGGCAAATGAGAGCCGAGAGCATATATAGCATAATCAAAGTCTAAGGATGATTGCTGGAATGTGTGGTCCGGTAGATTCGGAGAGAGAGTGATCCGATGCTTGTCTATGGAGGTAATAGTTGCTTGCACGCGAACGTGAGATGAACTTGAAGGAAGGTCTGAAAGAGAACTGGAAGGAATGTGGTTGTAAGGAATAACTATAGCAGAAAAGTCAGTGACCGTACAGAGCGGAACGTGCGGATTTAGCGCACGTACATGCTTTATGTTCATGACCGGCGAGAACGGCGTATCTAGAAAAATTATAAACATCTAAAACAAAAAATGAATCCTCTTCCAAGTTCAAAAGCAACAAAGCTCACGATTCATATGTCTGTGGGTCAACGGAGGTCAACGGACCATAATCACTGAATCAGAAACGAAACGCACGAATTTCTGTCCACCAAAACAACTCTCCAACCCTGTGGCAGACCCTCTGCTAGAACTTGAGCAGCTCTGGAGCCTAGATGATGATTGGAGGTGAGTCAGTGAAAATGAATTTTAAGGCTGCTCGTGTTGAACACACCTCCGTAAGAACCGCCCAGGACGACGACGCTCCTTGTGTGGGATGTCGTGTGCATGGACGGCGAAGACAGATGGGACGCCTTCTCGGAAACGGACATGTTGTGAGACTCGGAGAAGAAAGCTGCAGGCCACGAGAGTACTTGACAGCTGACAATTGCAGGTTAAGTACGTGACTGAAGTTCGGATCGATTTTATCAGATAACCCAAAGTGGACCGAAAAGGACCGCGAAACAGTATTGCCGGGCTAGTACGCCAATGAAACAATTAATCGGACGTTCGGCCTAACGTAACACGTGGAGGTACCATGTGCAGCTTTGACAAAGTTGAAGCTAGTACTACTACTAGTACTAATGTTATTGTCGAGGCTAAACAGTTGACTCTGTGAACTCGGCTCGCTTCGAAAGTGACCACACATTCTGTGTCAGTTCTATATGTTCTCAGAACTGAACATAAGTATCTCTGAGCAGGGATATATAGATGATGTAGACTCGTGTCCTCATTATATCCTCAAGCCTCAAGGGCCCATTGCATGATTTGTATCTCCCATCTGACGTTTGGATACCGTAGAGTACTTGTCCTCAGTGGTGCACCACCGTGACTCCAACCTTCATTTTCGAGTTCGGTCGCCACTAGTATTGCGCATTAATGAGTACGCAACTGTCAGCAAACTTTAACTGTGACTGCATAAATTTAAAAACAACGAGTTTGTAGCGCCCTGTTATGACTCCGAGCTTGCTCGGTTCACAAAACCACAAGAATCAAAAATCCGAACACACTCACGGCATTCACAGGGTTCAAGACCCCAGGACCCCTCGGGATGTTCGCTTCAGTTCGCTTCAAGGTGTAGTTGACGGCATCGCCAACTTGGTATATATACCTCACCACAACCATCAGTACCTATTCCCCCCCTTCTTTCTGCGTCGCCTTCCCTCGTCCTCATCACTGTTAGCTTATTCTCTTGGCGTTATTAGACTTCGTAGTATTATTTAGCTAGATTTTTTCATGTATTATACCCTGCGCGCAATATATTAATGCTGTTTACTCCACTACAACTGCTGTGAGATGGGCCCTATGTTGGTGCCTGGCGAATGATTAGTTGTAAAATGTTGATGGCGTTCAAGACTCTGATCACAGTAAAGTGACGAAAATTTATTGATTTTTATGCTATGACATTAATGACTGTGGTTGTTAATTTTTTTTAGCAAGTCCATACTTGCTATATTCAAAAAACACGTAGTGTACAGGCAATATATATAAAAATAAAAATGAGGGCAGAAGAAGTAGGGTGCCGCGGCTGGCCGTGGAATGTGCCAGAGTAACGAGAAATTGCCGGCGGTCGAGGAGAGATCATCAGGCGGCGAAAGGGAACGAGCGGCCGTGCGAGAGTGACAGGAAGGCGCAAGAGATCGAGGTCAGCAACGAGAGAGAGCGGTAGATTGTGGCGGCAGCATCAGGTTAGCGGGAGCAAGAGGAAGATCCTCATTGGGTGTGGGGCGATGACAGGATGGGTCTTGGTTGGGTGAGCCGGTGTGGGTAGCGAGAGGTCGCAAGAGGTTGCCGCTGTCGAAGGCGCAGGAGGTTGCCCAAGGGCACGGGTGGCAGCAGCAGGGTTGCAGGAGGTTGTTGGGGTGGCGCTTGAAGGTGGGGAGCGACGAGATGTCGTGGTCGACAGCGGCAGGGATAGGGATCGGGTGTACACGTGTACACACGCATATGGTCGAGGGTGGGTGAGTAGCGAAAGGGAGGTTGCCATCACAGTCAACAATGAAAGAAAAAAGAAAAGATTAGCAAGGCGAGAATAGAATATTCAACTTACGTTGCCGCCAACGTCCTTGGGGTCTTTTCCAGGGCTAAAGAGACCGACTGCTCGGACTTTTTTCCAGAGGCAATTAAGGGAACCGAGCTAGCTCGGAGTCATAACAGGGTGCTCGACACTCAAAAACAATGTCGTATCTTGGGGTAAAGTTTTATCCTGAAAGATCTTGCATGAGTCGAAGAGAGTTGTTGAGGAGCGTACTTCGTAACGGTGATCTCACAGCTGCAGGAGCACATGCTAACACCGGGATTCACCGTGTTGTTTAGGTTCTTGTGTAGATGAACCTTTGCCGGGCTGTGGTAGACGTAAGAAATGGGGATGATGTAAATCACAAATAAAGGGTGGCAGGTCCGTCTTACCCCTTCACAAGCACTCAGTGGATGCGTTCAACGTCCCAAACCTGAATGATGTCTCCCGCGTGGCTTGGGAAACTTGATCGGTGACGGTTGTTGCTATCGCCCCTCAACGTTCAACAAACATCCGCAAAGGTCGATTTCGCACACTTGCAGATCTACCAATCAACGGTAACGTTGCCACCTGCGGTACCGTTACAGTTGGTACCTACGGGGCTTCTGATCCTTGATCACGGACCCTGCCATCAATAAAGCACGTGAGTGGAATCCACAATTGTATGCGGGGTACCGCAGAGCTTGGGAGGCGCTCGGATTTGAGCGTTGTTTTCAACCCTGAATATCAGGCGGTTGTTCTACATCAGATAGCCGAACTTTATTCAGTGCCGCATTTGAGATCGTGACATGTCGTACACTGGACACACATGTGTAAGTGAGTAGTGAAACTACGACGTACACACCAAGAGGTTGTCATGTGTTTGAACTTTGAATTTGAACCGCTGTTTGTTGGACAGGTTCTACATGGCCTTGCTAGTGCTGCATTTGACATCAGGATGCGGTCTTTCAAGTCATTTTTCCTGCGCCCCCACGTACTTTGCTGCATACAGAAGAAACGACAACGCACACCCGTTGTGCAGCCTAGTCCCTGAATACCTATGGCGTTATGTTGCGCTTAGACAGAACTTCTCTGGAAGCAGTAACCGGAGGAGACAATAATAATGGGGTTACTCTTGAACGTTCCATAACAGTAAAAGGTGGGAAACACACAGGTATATATCACGTTTGTTGTTATACATAATCTGGCACAAGTGCGGGATAGAAGAGCGCAGGAGGTGCGGTCATCAGTCTAATACCTGTAACGGGTGGAGTAATCTAAAGCGAGGATGAGCCATAGTGCACTGCTGACGATACTCAAAGGCATACCTTTGGGTGATACGACAAGACCACGGCCCTTGGAGGCTCCACGATAAACGGTTTCAATGATGTCAATCAACTATAATGAGACACATCAATAGGGTGCGCCTACAGTACAAATGATAACATGCCTCCTGTTTGTGATTCATTGCCCAGTTTCTACAGCAGCAGGTGATGCAATGTTTAAGATAGATCAATGTGCAGGGTGGATGGGCCACGTACATCTTGTTGTTGTTACCAGTTCCAAGATCAATCATGATATGTTTGTTACTAATACGCAATATTTCAGCTGCGAGTGTAGCACTGTAACAAGAGTATCAAGACCGTACCGATAGAAGAACATGACGGTGCATGGATCGTACAACTCGTACATCTATGCCATTGCGCAACAATCAACCGTTAGCGAAGCGGAATAAGACCTATGGAACATGCATACCTTGTTGAAGTCCGGGACCTCGGTGATATCTACGAGGTAGATTACCGCAAAGTTCTGCACTTTCTCTGCGACAGAGTAGAGGGTCTCGTCCATCGTCATGCATTGATGATCCCAGTCGTGGCCAAAACGAATCACGACAACGCGATCCTCTTCAGATTTGATGGCTTCATCTACATGCCAGCCGCTGGGCAGGTGTGGAAGGAAGTAGGACATGAAGATGAAGATGAGGATATGGAGAGCTCGGGACCGAAGTGCTGGAGACAAGCTAAAGGGACGATTGGACAAGTTACGTAGGCACAGCCACACAAGGTCACTTCTACCAACTTCCACCACCTATGGTTCTACAGCTCTAAGGCTCAAGTTAGCACTAGTTCCCAAGTTCCTACCAAGTGGCACATCCGGGAGCCCAACGGTTTACAGCCTCTGAAAGCGCATTCAAACCGGAATCTCCTATTTGAGTCTTGACTGGTGTGTTGCAGGACTCAGAATGTTGCATCGAAAGAAGGAATGCCTAAGGGAGATGAGCATCGACGCTGTTACTCCCGGTCGCCTGTCGCATCGTGGTCGTTGCTGGCGGGGCCGCGACCCGGTCGTGTACTTCGCCTCTCCCCTCCTACTGGACCCTTATGGTTGGTACTTGGCAAACATGACAGACTACCTGAGATCGGTCTTATTTGGCAGATAAGCCTCCGCAAGTGGTGGAAAAGCCTGGAAAAGTCGGACGTATCCCTAACTACAATATTCCACTGGATACCATCAGTGAGCTGGCTGACGCCTATCTGTATTACGCTCAAAAATTGCGCTTTTGACGCCGGTTGCAACCACAGTACATCCATGGAAGGAGTACGGATATACCACGATGTATCGTAGTACTATACAGCTGTTTACTACTGCTCGCGGTCGTCCCTCATCGCATCCTATCACACCTTGGTCTGAGTTTTTTCTTCCTGAAATTACGTGGATCGTTATGAGGAAAGATATGAAAGATATATTGCGAGAGCAATTTGAGCTTGCGACCAAATTGCTTCCACCTCGCTTCCCAGCCAGTCCCACCCCTGCCCTCCGCAGTTCCCCTGCTCCACTTTCCCCGACCCATTCAGAAAAGGCTCAGAAGTAAGGTCAAGGTAGGCTTCCTTAGCTGACATAATGCATGCATATACTATTTGACGGTCGATATAGTTACGACGACGAAATACAGGAACATGATATCGACTACCGGTCTGTCATATCTTATATTGGGCCAGCTACCACTGGAGACTCACGACAATCGAAGATGCCGTAGCTTGCCGAGCCCTGCCCTGCCCTGCCCTGCCGCCTAAACGATAGGCTTTAAAAGATCGGTATATGGCGCTTGCGCGCAAGATCAATTATCCACTATATAGTGTCCAGGGTACATTTCTCGCAAGTTCGCCTGCTCCTGAGACTACTGACCTCTCGTCTGCCGCATTTCTTTGGCAGACTTAAGGCGCTATTTCCTCATATTAATTAACATGTTTCCCTTGTCAGCTCTGGTTTTTCTCGTGGCCGGGATTGCTACAGTCACCAAAGCTAGCAGCAGTAGCTGCATCGGTACAATTTCGTCCTTAAACGACGTTAGTAGTGCCATCAAATGCACGACAGTGAATATCAACGCGTTTACCGTCCCTGCTGGCAAAACGTTCGAACTGCAGCTGCTGGCCGGTACCACTGTCAACGTTTGTGAGTGCGATCGGATGCTTCGCATTTGCACATCCCTGATTCTTTTTAGTGGGCGAGATTCAGTTCGGAAACAAGAGCTGGGCGGGTCCCCTATTCGAGGTCAAGTGAGTGCAGGCACTACTATTTTAAGTGACTCGGGGCTGACCAAGGTCGTCGTTTTCAACAGAGGGAGTAATATCACTTGTACGTGGGCTGTGCAAGGTTGTGGCAATTCCTAACGTTCCCAGTTAATGGAAACAACCAGAAGTGGGATGGTGGAGGACCTTTCTATTGGGTAAATATGCTGGTTCGCTCGCTCGCTTTTGCTTCATCTTACACTGTTGTAGGATGGTAAGGGTACGAATGGCGGCACGACAAAGCCACGCCCGATGATGCAGTAAGCTCATCAGTTATTGTTACACTCCGTTCTCTTTTAACTTCGCTTTACCAGCATATTGATGTCGGGCACATTGAACGTACGCACTCGAGTCGCCTCAGCCGTTACAGACAGATAGCTGATATTCTCTATGCAGAATGTTCAGGTGGTAAATACTCCCGCCCACGCCTTCTCGGTCGCAAACTCAGGACCTCTCACTATCTCTGGCGTCACTGTCGATGATTGTGCGTGCTTGTACGTTTGTAACGGGGTGTCTCATTTTGACATTAGGAGCAGCGCAGGGTAACCAACCTAACTCGAAAAGCAGCGGTCTTGCTGCTGGTGAGTGGCACGTCCATTCATCCGGCGATTTCTGAACTTATCATCTGAAAAGGACACAACACCGACGGCTTTGACGTTAGTGGCAGTAATTTACTCATTGAAAACAGGTTTGTCCATCCTCTAGTTACGTTGTCGACTTACAGACACTGACGGACATCCAGCACCGTCATCAACCAGGTTCGTTTGATGATGGAGTTTCGATGTCCCGTTGCCTATGAGATATTTCTTTTTGCAGGACGATTGTTTGGCTATCGGCCGGGGAACAAACATCACCTTTTCCAACAACTACTGTAAAGGCGGTCACGGTATCTCCGTCGTGAGCCGCTTTATCAACTTTGTGATCCAAATTATTCAAATATTTGTCGTCTAGGGCTCCATCTCGTCAAATGTCGTCGTCTCCAATATCGATATTTCCGGAAACAATGTTGTTAACAGGTGACCACAGCAAAAGCGTGCGTTAGAGTTGTACTGACCTGAGTAGCGCATACTCGTTTCGTATCAAGACCGATAAATCTGCGACAAACAGTGCTGTCAAGGATGTTACATATAACGTGAGTGGTTTTTGATGAAGAAGAAGAAAAAGAAGATGATCGTGAACTGGATTTCTGGTAGGCCAACACTGCAACCAACTGTACCCAATATGGCGTTCTGATTACACAAGTACGTGTGTCTTACCATGCTCGCCAGCTGTCAATCTTATAACTCAACTACAGAGCTATCCCACCGACCTGGGCACCCCGGGTAACGGGGTCACTATATCTGTATGTGTTCTTTCAGTTTTACGTCGACGAGGGTTTTACGGGACTGTCACAGAATATCAACTTCAACCCTGGCACTACCTCCTTGACGGGTACCAACAGTGCTTACATGGTTGCAGTAAACTGTGGCACTGGATCGTGTACAGGTACACAAGTTACAACTTCCCTCAGTCTATTTCTTACAGATTATGATAGGTACCTGGGATTGGTCTGGTTTGGAGACAATTGGTGGAAAAGCCGGATCTATCACTAACAACAAAGTCATTACTGGATTCACACAGTGATGTGGCCTGGCGCCTGGTTTTTCTTGTGGCCAAAAAAACATACAGCTGCATGCAGCTATCGTGTTATCCGCTCTTTTTTGCAACATATTCTTTTTTTGTTACACGTTCTTTTTTGTTACACACTCTTTTGCCCCAGCCCTTCGAGACTCAAGCTAGTCACGTTAATCAAATATACATACTTACCATTCTTGGAGGGAGTACGTAAGACTTCAGCGTCTTGGGACTTGAAAACATTCAGTCAATCACGCATTCGTGGTCGTTCATCCCACCTAGGTCTCCGTCCGAGTCTTTCTCCAGTACTTGTGAATCTTCCAACTGTGATCGGCTACGATGGAGGAGTCAAACATCTGTTGCTCGCCGATTTCCACGTCTTCCAGCTACTCAAGTAGTACTAGAACACCATCCAGCTCTCCGTCAGCTGGTACCGAAGGCCACCACGATATATCGGAGCCACGCATCGGAATCTCACTAGTTGGCAAAGGAACCCTTACTGAACTCACTAAGACCTCCAACTCACGCGCATATATCCACCCTGGACGCCTGTCTTCTGATTTTTCAGTTGGTCCACTGTCTCCAGTCACTCCTGGCTATGAATACGAATTGGACGACATATCTACAAGCCCACCACCACTTTCTTCCTCTCCAATTGCCTATCCAGAACCTTTTCCTTACGAAGACGAAAATGACGAGACGACCCCTTGTTACTCGTCTGCCAGTGGTTCTTGCAAATACCTCCCGGGTTCCACTGCTCATGCTGAAGCTGAGTCTATGAATATTCCGGACGGCAAAAGAAAGAAACGCCGACTTCTCAGTGACGCTCAAGAAAACACCCCGTTTGTCCAATTCACCTCTCAAATTCCTTCCACTGGACTCCAGTTGGAGAAGTCCACGGTCGGGTCTTCGGTTCCTGTGTTGACTGGTCTTGCGCACAACGTCAGAGCGTGTACCGAGCAGCGTTCAAGTTCTCATTATACCCGGACCCATCCGTCGAGTCGTTCACGAATCAACGAGACCTTGAGCACAACAAAGTCGCTATCAAGACTCCAATCGACCATTGGTGACTCGAACGAAGGACTTTTTAACAAATGCGGAACTCTTCCACTTGAACACCTAGGAGAATCTGCGGAGCAGGAACATCCGACAAAAAAAGCCAGGATCGGTCGTCTAGCCAGCCATCGTACTGATCTTCCAAAGATACGGACTCAATTTTCGGCAAAGGAACCAGCTAGTATACGCAGAGCCCAGTCTCTTGTTTCGCAAACTTCCACTGATAGGGATGATGAGGACGTTATCAAGGTTCGTCGAAACGATCTCTTGTCGAAATGCCATGGATATTCCTTCGGTTGGAGGTTGACGACGCGCAATGAAACAGCTTTTGGACGGGCCGAACTCACCGACTAGATCGCTTCTTCCAAGCACTGTTCACCGAGCAGCTCAGCCCGATTCGCCTATATGCCCCCCTACTGTGCCGACCACACCTCTTCCTGACACGGTTGGCTATTTTCGTGCAAAGAGAAACCCTCTATCACGTACCCCTGCTTTCCGCGCACCGTCTAAAAGATCCCCGAAGATACCACCTGTTCCCACCATCGCGCCTCCCAGGTGTCTTAGCCCTTTCACTATCAAGTGCGAGGAAGATTGGGCGGGCGATCGGATCAAGATTCTTCTCACTAAAGAAAGAGAAGAGCGTGAAAGCGATGGCCTGGACCTTCCTCAACTTCCTGATGATTGCTCCAACCGAAGCGAGACTGAGAGCTCCGTATCTGATGACGAATACTGGGCAGACGAGAGCTCGCTTTCCACCTCCGAATCCGAATCCGTGGCGAGCCGAAACTCAGATCCATCTTTGGCCACAGAAAGGTTTCGAAGTCGCGAACGTTGGTCAAGGGCGCTCGGACTCGATGATAGCTTCCGCAAAGAAGTCGTGGGTTGGATGTTGGATGCAAGACTTGATTTGCCCTTTGTGAATGGCTTGCTGACAAAATCACAGGTGCTTCCGAACATTCCTCCGACGAGGAAAGGCAGCGTAATAGAAATCGATGATCTTTTTGACCAATTAGACACCTGTCGAAACACAAGGTTTCACGCGGTTCATCTCTTTCACAGATACTTCTTCCGTGTTGCAGAGCAGAAACCAAGTATCAAGTTGTCAACGATCGAGTCACCCGCCCAATCTTCGAGAGTAGGCGGCAACTCTTCGATGAATAGCAGGGCACCGAGTTCAGGAAATAATGATGGCAAATCTACTGACGAAGACGAGGACGATGCTGGATCTGATGACACAGTCGTGGTGAAAGGAGAAGAGGTAAGTGGATACCAGTCCGAGTCAGATAATTGGCAGGACGGTCAGGAGGCGGTTACCTGGGATATCGCTCTTGGATCTTTAGCGCTATGCGTCAAGGTAGGATCGTTTGCATGTCGACATCGATAGACCCTTATTTGCATTTGGCAGTTCCACCGTGACTTCTTGGCTCCACTTAGTCCCGTATATGCGTACGAATTCTTGGACCTCGCACGGCATTCCGTATCGTACGAGGACCTTGAGGTATTGTTCCATCGACTCATCTTATGTTAATAGCGATCCCTCTTTTCTCATATTCTGGTTACTCATCAGGTTTCACAACGCGATATACTTGCAGCTTGCGGTTTCAGTCTCGGTAGCATCACACCTCAAGGCCTCATGGATGAACTTTGGCTAGCTTTACCTACGCTACGAAAGGCTACAGAAGCATTGAAGGATGGCTGGAAATCGGTACAAGTTGAGATATGGGACAGATTGTTTGACGCCTTGATAGGTACTCACCCTTTCTTAGTCGTACTTCATCAGCACAAGCATATCCTGACCACGCCCCAGAACCTGACGTTCTACAGTTCCCTGTTTCGGTCCTCACAGCCTCCGCCCTGCTTGACGGTCTCATCATTGCCATTGCTCGCCATCACAAAGCCGAAACAGATATGGAAGCATGGCGTTTACAACGGAACTCTTGTCATTGCCCTGCATCTTGCACGCCGGATAACACAGCAAAGCCAGTTCCATGGCGGGTGTATGTCGGCGAGGCGATGGGTGCTGTGAAAGGTGTCGTTCTGGATGTTAAGGATGTCCTTCTAATACATGATGTGAGCGCTATTCATGCTATTCAGGCTCATGAAGAGCTTCCTGAAAATAATTCTACCAGGACGATTTGGATCGATGCAGAGCATGGATGAGCCAGGTTGGATGCGAGTAATGCTCGTTTGTTATGTCCTCGTTTTCCTCGTGTTCGATACTCCTACATTTCGATGAATCTTGTTGCTTGCAATTCTGTCGTATGTTTTTATGATGTACACTATACCTTCCCTAATTTGCAGAATTTCAAGATCGCAGAAAGGTTTACCAAAACGACTTTCGTAGCCCGCAGAGGTTGATTTTTCAGCACGTGACTGACGCGTCGCGAATTGGCAACGCACAAATTTCAGTATAAATATCGCTCGCCCATTATCCTGGTCCCTCGAATCGCTCGTCGTTGAATACCTTGCCGATAAACCACATGTATCTCACGCATCGCCATGAGTTATAACCGCCTTGGTCTTTGAAGACACCGTCATCCGTCCCGCCGGTTTCTGTCGGCTCCGTCATGTCGACCGTTTGCATATCAACGATCACTCTGCTACTGGCCGACAAAGCCGCCAAGACGTTCCTCGGCAATGATACTGGTAACGTACCCTTTACGTAGACTCGTGACCAGCCTGGCGTATACTACATACCACGGATACTCGAGATGACTACGTCAAAAAATTCTCACCATCACAAATTGGCGCATTCAGACTGGTTACGAGGTCTGCCCTTTACCCGCGACGTTAACACTACCAATATCCGGATTCCCGCTACTCCGTGCTCTCGTCCGCATATCTAGCATTACCCGATAACCGCGAACCCTCAAAACACCAACGGCCGGTCGTCCATGAACAATAACCAATTATGATCTCCGCCCTTGCAGAAGTCTTTCAGTTATCCGACATATACATCTGTATCCGAATCTACTGAAACAACGCCTTGCGGCAACTTGCAGCACTCTAGGCCGTAATCGAATTTGCAACTCACTAAGATCAAGTTGATGCGCGGAGTTTAAAATTATTCGGTGTCCCGTGCACTACTGCTTGTCAACCACTTCCGACACACTACCCTCGTATCTAAGCCTCGGACATCAAAGACATCGAGTCGTCTAGTGACGAAGGGGCTTTCCATAAGGTAGGGAGCATTTTAGTCTAGACTTGCGGTGTCGCCTAACATCTTGGTCCTTATAGGACGACCATGGTACCTATGAACGCAAACCGGTCCATGTCGACGCGATGTTCGCATTTATTGTGCTATGCGCACATATTACGTACTACTCACGATAAACGCGACACCGCGTCCTTGCTTGCTACTGAGCATCTCAGTCTAGACCTGTATCTTGATCTTAACAAGGACGACCATGCTACTAGAACCCAAGGAATACGAACCACTACATGTCGACATAGATATTCAGGTTTACCACGGGTGGTGTGGGACACCCTACACATGATAAAAGCGGTGCTACGCCCTTGGTTGCTGAAATCGATCACCGACTGAGGCTCCGTCTCCACTTTAGTGGAGAGAGGGTTATGTTTGAACGCAAATGATTAATTCTCTGCAAACGCACCCATGTGAATCGTTCAAGCTGGCTCAGTCGGTGGGAATGTATGACTTCCCCTACTCTTTCGTCTTCGCTGAACATAAACAGGCACGAACTGTTGGACCAGTTTGACATGTGAGTATGTTTCTGTCTCGATGTTTTGTTTTGATGCAGTATAAGCTCACACATTTTCAGGATTTTTCTCAGAGTTGCCCTGCCGTTTGGTTTGCTTCCTCGAGGAAGGACAGTATCCTCTCTATAATGAATACCATGATGTGAAGTACTATCGTCGTTATTATAATGCCCTATATTCTCCACAATATCATCCTGCATTTTTTTGAAACACTCAAAAAGTTTTGCACTTGGCTGAAAACCTCTCTTAAAATCATCCTTATGTCTTGCTCAGTGTGCTTCTGTGTACGACAATATTCGAATCACCATATGCCAGCAGCCATCATGGCACCGAGTGGAGCCGCTCACGTCAGGAGACTTGCAACGAGTTCTCGCCATTCACATCCGAGATCGAGTGAATTTCTGGCAGTACGATACCCAGGGGTCTCGTGTGTACCAGATTGTGCTGCAGCTTCTGCCGTGTGCCATGTACGCGCCGCCCGTATTCGTGGACTCGATCGGGCTAGGAAGGGGAAAACAAATGCTGTGGACGAGGCAATTGGCCAGTCGCCTACAAAAAAGGGTTCCGACTTTGCCACTGCACTTGAAGAGGACGGGCTCGAGTATATTATGGTTGAGTGGACTGTTTATCTTGATGTCTTCCCAAGTTGTCTTGGTTCTTCATACGGAGTCGAGGATTGGCCCAGCCGAGCGCCGCTACGGTGTACAGAGAACTGTGACCTCGTCGAGTGGAGACGGTTTGATATCTACATCACCTGTGCTTTCCCTTACTTGCCGCCTGCTCTGCACACTTTTATATCTCAAGAAAATCCCTTCTGTTGGCAATTCCTTTAAATGTTGCTCGCGCATCTTTGTATAAAATAGTACATTCGGAGTCCACCTATGCAAGCATTCGTGTGCGGTAGGAATCAGCGACTCGATAGTAAGACAATCGGACAAGCTGGTCGTTATCATCCTCCATCCAATCGTTCTCAAGACTCTGCGCCTCAAAAGCTCGCAGGGTAAAACGGAACCAGTGCCAGGCCCAGCCATGATGTTTCCAGCTAGTTCGTCCATGGTTCGTTAGGACTCGTAATGGCGATGAAAGTCGTAGCTGTAGGTGGCGGAGCGGGTAGCTCTTGTACGCAGAGCTCGCGCAGGTGGCCTTTGGAGGGTCTGTAAACCGGATTAAGCCAGGATAATAACGATGCGGCGCAGTGGCTGACTGCAAAATAGGAGGGGCGATCGATCTGAAACCGAAGCTTAGCTTGAGCGACTACCTTGGTACCACTCCTTCACATACATCCCGCTACCAGAAACAATCATGGAAAACAGAATTGAAGAAGGCCAGGAAGTCTCGTACGTGAGATACTGATACAGGCAGTTGCGAAGCTCTAACTTGTGTTCAGGTGGAAATGGGGAGGCGGAAACGCATCAGGAAAGGTGGATGAGATTGTGGAGGAGGGTACAGCTAAAGTAACGAGCGACAAGGTAAGGCGTGAAGCCTTGTTTTCACCCTTCCTTATCGCGCGGCTCAAATGCGGCCCATAGGATAATACGGTAACCCGCATTGCGAGAGCGGGAGACCCTGCTGTGAAGATTACCCGTCAAGGAGTACGTTCGCTGCCATCTTTTGCTTGACCCCACAGAATGACTTGGGTCCAGAACGATGTCGTCAAACTGGCACATGAGCTCAACGAGGTCAAGGAAGCAAAGTAGGTTTGGTTTGGTAAACCATTGGTAGGCGTGGGAACGGTCTGCTCTAGATTCATGTACTCCTGCACTTGGAGATGCGAGCCTGAGAATCGAATTGTTTGAATCGGTTCATAATTGTCTTCTCTCTGCTTTCTTCTTGTTCTCTTCTTCACGACCACAGGACCACCGTCGCCGACTGGGGCCAGACGAGCTTCCTGCAACTTCTTCCAAAAAATATATCATCATCATCTGCCTGTTATACCCGATACCATCATCTTTCCCATCTCATAGATTCGCAATCACGACGTCGATCCCTAATTGAATCCTCGATTAATCCACTCAACGATGGCACCAGGTCCAAAGACAGGTCCTGCACTATTTCTTGGCCTTGAACTTGCTACCGATCAATTGCGCGCTTCGATCGTGGACGAGAGCTTGGAGCTTGTGGGAGTAGAATGCGTTGATTTCGATACGGAATTGCCTGAATATCAGTACGTGTTCTCGTGGTATATGCTTCGTCCCTCTGTGTCCCAATTCCAGTGACTTGCCGCTCAAATGTTGCAACGTGCTTTCTTCACCTTGCGTCTGGAGTCATTTTATTGGAAAGCTAATATTCTCATAGGACACAGGGAGGAATTTTTACTACTCCAGGAGATGCATACACCACGCCAGTAGACATGTGGGTCAAGGCTCTTGGTGCGTAAACTAGCGGAAGCAAATTTTTTTGCTTCGACTTAACCAATTTGGATTTTTGGGTATTTGTTCGATCACTTACCACGTGCGCGGGAACATTGTTTACTTCCCCCCTAAACACAACACGGATTTAAAAAATTTGGCAACTCAACAGACTTTTTGCTGGAAAAATTGACTAGGAGTCACGATTTAACGAGGATAAAATCGATCGGTGGATGTGCCCAGGTAACTTACTTGTCTATCAATTGTGATCACCGCATTCCTGATCAGTGATGGCGTACAACTTTAGCATGCTCTCGTGTGGTGGAAATCAACACCCATCCCTTCATTTCCAGCATTAGACCCGCGACTCCCGTTTCACTCTCAACTTCCTCCCAACACTTTCTCATTACCGAATACGCCGGTCGCTCAAGATACGTCCGCACACACCCATGCACTCGCTCTTGAAGCCCTCCTTGGAGGACCAGACCTCATGGCTGCTCGCGTTGGCACATGCGCCAACGCATCACTCCTAGCTGCCCAACTTCTGCGCGTTCGCGAATCGTGGACATCTGATGTCTGGTCGCGAACAGGGAAGATACAACTTGCAAGCCAGTTTCTTGCAAGTATGGTCGTGGGGGAGTGGGTAAATATGGGAGAGTCAGAGGCCTGCGCGACTGGCATGTGGGTGCATGCTGGCGCTGGCGCACAAGGTGCACCTGGACCGGGCCGCTGGGATGAGGGTGTTTTGGAGATAGTAGGTGGAAGCCGGGAAGAAGGCCGGAGGATCCGAACGTGGTTGGGCGACGTGGAGGTCGCTGGTGGAAGAAAATCGGCCCATATTTCGCGGTACCTATGTGAACGATTCGGATTCGAATCCGGTGAGATTCATTTGCTGCAATGTGTATACAACCCCGCTAATGTATTTGCAGACACGATTGTCACTCCCTTCACTTCTGATTATCTTTCCTCATACCTATCCCTCTGTCCATCTCCTGGAGACGCAGTGCTTTCATTTGGACCAATGGATACCCTCCTCACACCCGCTCAACATTACCTACCGACTCGACTGTACAGTCTATTCCCCCATCCTGCCCAGGATGCCAGCGAAAAGCGACGATACATCGCCATGTTAAGCAGCAGGTATGTAATCGCCTCGCCTCACACTTTGCACAGCTTCTCACGTTTATTTGCAGAAATGCTGACGTTCCGCGTGCTCTTGTAAGAGATATGTATACGAAGAGCTGGAGTGCGTTTGATCGGCTAGTTGCCATCGTGCCACCTGGTGGATCCATAGGGTATGTTCATGCAAATTCGACTTCTGAAAGTGACTCTTATTTTCTCTGTTCTTTTTAGCCTCGACGATAAGCTCTTCAGCTTCTGGCTCCTACAGGGCGACAGCTACCCATTATCACACGTCAAAGGCATCTATCGCTTTGAGACTGGTATCAAAGTCAATGAATTCCGAGACCTACGTGCAAACCCTCGATGTCTTCTCGAGAGCCAAGTTCTCTCATTCCGCTTTCGGTGGTCAAAGATGATCGCTACAGGTGTTCTTGGCTCGAATATCAACCGCTCTCGGGGGAACGTTGCCCAGACGCCTGGTCCTCCAATGCCACAAGGACAGAATCCCCGTTCAAATATCGCGTCCAGCCTTGGACTCTCCTTTGATCCATATGATTATTCTCCACTCCCTGCAAGAATACTCGTCACTGGTGCAGCTGCCAACTTCCCCTCCGTCGCCAATCTTGCAGGCGATGTGTTTAACGCACCCGTATTCATGCCCAGCACCCAGGTTGATTCTGCCCAAGTTGTGCCCCACCGCAATGCACCTGCCGCTGGCTTCCCTGGCCGCGCATCACTAGGAGGCGCTTATTTCGCGCGGTGGATATGGGGGAAAGAGCGTAGTTCTGCTATCGGTGGATCAAGTACTGGTCGAGGACTCGGTGGATTCGAGGAGGAGATTAGGAGGTTGCATGGAAAACGCTGGGTCGCAAGCGGTGGTAACCCACTGCGAACCAATGTGAATGCTCCTCTAAGTGGAGGCAGTGGAGCCAACAGCGGTACTAGCACCCCCTACGGCAACCGCTCAGGACTGGGCTCCACTGTCTTCGTGGAGGAAGAGGAAGAGGAGGTGGAGGAGATGGAGCGTGCCAGTGGGATTCTCGCCTCCTCAGTGTTTGCGGGTGGATTTGCCGACCGGGATCTTGGCAGGGACATCAGCCGCATGCGAACGCTCACAGGTTCTACGCTTGATACCGTGACGAGCGGTGGATCTATAGGAATGCCCTCGACCGCATTCACAACTCCCGATCTCAATGCAGGCGCAGGGAGTCCAGGTGGGGGAGCTGGAGCTGTCGTGCCACAGACAACCGCTCTGACCCCTGTAACTGCCATGCCCACTTCCGACGCTGAGGCACAGATTGGGTTAGCGAAAGTCGCGGAGGCGGACGTAGATGCATTTATGACGTACGCTGCTATCGTGCCTGAGTATTGCAGACTTGAAGGCATGCTCTGCAAGTCTCTTGTATGATCGGTGGAGATGGAGGCGAAAAGCTCTCGTGATCAGTGCATGTGAGTTGGGTAGAAAAAAACTACGAGATTTCATGATTTGTTGTATATATATAGGATCTCTCATCAATACTTACGCGCCTTGGATCATTCGAACATACTTGTTTCTATTGGGGATGATGATCGTTCAAATCAGTCGGTTCGTAGCTTTTCGGTGCCTCGACTTGGCGTGAACGTAGCTGTCGTTATGACGCTTCTATGGGAAACAAGAATGGGGCAAAGGATTGGGTGGGTATTTGAGCTCGCTGTCCTCGAGCATCATCGTGTTGTCGCGCGGTGTTACGCTAACGAGTTCCAAAAGCATCATGTGTGCATCGTGTGCGGAATAGTTGAACGGAGCTGCGCCATACTTACGCGCCTTGGATCATTCTCTTGGAGATCTATGATCGTTCAAATCGGTGGTTTTCCCCGACTTGGCGTGAACGCCGGCTGTCATTATGACGGGCCTTCTGGTATGAGGAGCATGCGTGCTACAATCATCACGCGGGGGGCTCGGATTCTCCACTGATCACGCCCGAGGCGCAAGGAGAATTCTACCCCTGTCTGATTACTGATCTTTCGTCATAGTGCCATCGATAGCGGCGTCTTGCCAAATTCATGAATTGACTATCCGGAGCTCAGCGATCTGATGGAGCGAGATCCTTGTCCAGGTCGTACGTACGTATGGCCTTGCCAGGTATAAATACGAGGCTGTTGGGAGCGTTTTAAGCCCATCACCCATTGCTTATCATGTCTTGCATTCAAAACGGGCGTGCTTACACTCTCAAAAACTGTCAGGCAGGTACTGTGATGGACCTCTCTGGTGGAAATAACTACTCCAGTAAGCGTCATCCCCATCCCTGCTCTATCTAGTGGCATCCCAAGTCAATGCTAACGTTAACTGTAGTCATCGGCTACCACAACAACGGTGGTCTCAACCAGTTGGTAATGCGCTCATAATCACATTCCAGATAGGTTGGACTGACTAGCTGCGCGGTTCACAGTGGATCTTCCAGCATATTAGACATGGTGACCAGCAAGGCTGGTACATTAAGTCTGCTGGTTCTGACAAATATCTCTCGATCGAGGGCGGAATCGATGACGCCGGCAATGGCACCAAGGTCGTAGCTGTCGAGTCCGAGTCCCCTTTCTTGTGGGACGTCAAAGACTCTGATATAGAAGGCGTCGAAGGTTTGAGGTGTGCATACCCTTTCTTGTGCACGTAGAGCGTGTTTGGTCGTATATTGACTCTCGTCGATTCTCTTTTCACCGCGCCAGGATATTGGTCCATGGGAAGAAATTCAGCGTAGACCTGTCTGACAATGGAAATGCGACAGAAGGCACGCCAGTTCAACTTTGGACCAGGTGGCATGGCCGTAATCAGATTTGGGAGCCTATCGAGCGTAACTGGTGCGCTGATTTCATTAGACGACCACTGTTAAAATGCATATCATACTGACATTATGGTCCATTCTAGATCGCAACAGAGCAGAACTCTTGTACGCTGTGAATTGTCATGTATAACAGATTACTTGTGGAAAAAGAAATGTCGTGAACGAATTTGATGATTTCGCTGGACACAATTGAACACATTAACCTCTGCTTGCTTGAATTCACCATTAATTACTGTGACGCTCGGGTTCGAGAATCTCTTAAAACTCGAGTTCATGAAGTTTGCTCGACCGTTGTAAGTTCTCTGTGTATGCTGAACCGTGTCATCAGTACCCGCATGCAGCCAAGCCTTCGAAACTTCATTATCAAGCTTCGCCCCGCAGCAGAACACTGATCGCAAAAATAAAGCGTGATAATATTGCGGTTGAGTCCGTAGTCACATGGTGGTCAATTGTCTCCTCTAATCGCGGATGGATGATTACACATCATGTGTCGCACTGCAAGTGATAAAAGTGATTTAATGCTCCCTTACCAGTCGCATAATTCAGACTATTTGTTGGATAGTCCAAAGTACCAGTAAACACGATCACAGAGAATGCAGGGAGCTCATTCATACAGTGATCATTCCATTAACGACATTCTCACGAGACCTTCATTCTTCTCCTTCGTCATCATCGCCAGCTGAAATGTAGACACGCAAATTATCGAACGGAAAGTTTATAGTCGAAGAATGGTATGCCGTTGACATAGAGAACATTGCGATCGAGGTCGATCTCGTAGATCCACTCGATGAAGAGGTCATTTTGTGGCCACAGACTGGAAATGGTGAAATCTTCGCTTTTAATAGAACCTCTTCAGTTCCTGGATTGTCAGTCAGCTCGGCCAATATCCGTTCCAACTCCTGCCACTCCTCCGCGATGGCACGGGGTAACCTCATAGACTCAAGGACGCCTACACCAAGACCGATAGGATGAGAATAAAGACAGTTGTAGTGAGCGAAATACATATCTCGATAGCAGTGGACCCAGTACCCGCGAGTGCCCATGCCTGTAGATAGGACATCAAAGAGATCTGGACAATGGTCAGATCGTATTCTGTACATTTTAGCACTAGGCACGGACGTACAAAGCCTCAGGCAGTAGTAGAAGGCAAGCTTCAAGGACGTGGACCCGGATCTACCCGGATGCGTTGGTAAGAAGTTTGTACTAAGTACCACTCAGGGGTCCGGGGAGGAAATTGGAAATTCACTGTATACTCAACATGCACGTGATCATAATTATCATTGTCGACTGTGACATGCAAGTGACATATATTTTCTGGACCTGCATGCGACGTGCGTACTGCCAGTCAAGTGCATTGCCATCCACAAGCCCCTTACCTGCATGTTGTTTTGCGGACCGGCATGTTGCTCCAGGCAGAACCTGTAACTTATGATAATTGATCGTGTCCTTCGGTATTGCTAACTCTGGACTGCGGCCAGCCGCCATAGCTGCTGTCAGGGCCATTCAAGCATACAGGCATTCGTATTGTATGCGGGTTGCCCTGTCAGAGTAAGTAGGTCTAAGTCGCAGATTTGGCCATAAAACTGCTCGAGGTATATGGACCCCCCGAGTCCGTGCCTTGGAGGAGGTGATCCACTCTGCTATATGCGAGCAAAATATCGGCATTTCTAGAGATCAACAATAGCATCATCCAGGGCTTTAAGCGGTCCCGAGTCTATCCTCTAGACGTACCGGAGGCCATAGTGATCGTGTGTGTAATTCCATTGAAATTAATATTGATTCTTGCTGTACTGTTTAGATCACTTTCAGATTGCTTGAGGTGCCAGCCTGAATGCGTTCCATGTCGATGTTGAGCAGCAGCTTGGACTGATATATAGTTGGACGGATGTGATGTACTTTAAAGGTACGCTGAGCGGGGCATGGTATTGTCCAGTGAGATGATTAAAGGGAAAGGCAGTTCTTTTCAGGAACTCTGTATATGTCGTGCCCTATCTATGTCTCCCGTGCACCCGAGTCAGCGCGCTGATCATCATTTCCCGTAAGTATTATCGCGTCTCTCGAGAAACATCGAGCATAACGCGCGATGCATTCATTTGGCCGGCCTGGGACAACTGTGGCATAGTCTGCCTTTGTAACGCAAATGTCAACGTCATCAATTCTAGGTGGGTATTCAAACATCCACTAGAGCATCCATACTTGGATCGGCGTAGGCTTTGAATAATGGCTATGGTTGTGGATGTGGACGGTCATGGTGCTTCCACAGTAAACAAACCTATATATATTGCAACGCAGATTCCCCGCATTTCTAGACAGTCAACCGCCTCACATTCTTTGCAACTCTCCATCCTTTTTCCTGTATAAACTATGAGATCTTTTAAGAAACTGTTTCACAAGTGAGTCGACCATTTCATTCTATTCAAGGTCATCATAGTAATCAATACCCATCAGGTCCAACGACGACCAGATGGCGTCACCTAAGCACTCCAAACCAACGCCACTTGAACTCCCTTCGCATGAGAGCATGTATGAGCCTTATGCCGATCCTTTCAAAGCCGTGTACGGTGGAGAGACCCCCCTTAAAATTTCCGACATTTCATATGTCGAGCAAGCTCCAGGGATGCTGGACATCCATCGCGCGCAATGGGACCATCCTCGATCGCGCGCCCACTTTGACAGGTCCGCGGACTTGGACAATTTTCCTAGTCCCCCTCAGCAACCTGCGAAGCCCTCACGCAGCGGCTTAAGGACGACTTCATTGAACTCGAGCATGAGGCCCCAACTGCCCATGCAGAACTGGGACACAACCGAGCGGCATATCGCAGGGAGAAACTGCATTCTTCAACGGTCCCCTTCAGCCGCATGCTTTTCGCGGCCTACAGCCACAGCCTACCCCTCCCTTGTCCGCAAACAGAGGCGTGGGGCGACAGTTGATGAAGCTTTGGCTAATGTGGTGAAAACGCCCGACGGCCGGGCTCCCGTCTTTGGTAGCAGCAGACAGGCGGAACGTGTGCGTGCCAAGTCGAGCGCTGGTTGCTCGTACACCCCTGCTCTCCCCGCTCCTCCTGTTCCTACCACCTCTTCGTCGCGTCCACCGATCTCGCGCTCTGCGCACAGCTCACGGGCAAACCTGCATCGGGTTCCATCCCACGTCGCCATTCCACGCACCGTTGCTCCAGACTACCGCACGTCATATAAATGATCAGTTATTATCCTGTAGCTCCTTGCCACAACGACTGTTCGCCGCTGGAGCATTAAATGTTTGTGAAGATAGGATCTTTATGTTATTCTACCTAATCGTATACGACTTATATCATTATGAATATGGATATGATCTATGAAACAAAACTATTACCATTTGAGACCATGATCAGCTTGACATGCACGGTGTAAGGAAGTAGTCAGAAACGGTAAGTAGGCGCAGAACTTCAAGTTGCCGTGTTTGTTTGTGCATGCTTGGTTCAAATCTGTGTGATACTAATTCAAATCACGCATTAATATTGGTCCCGGTATGAACTCGGTTGCTCGGGAAGATACTTATCGTGACTCCGCGATTCTACTCTCCATAGGACTCATCAATGGCAAGCTCACAGCGTAGTAAGTTGGGATTGCAGGCAACATTTTATGAAGTTGTGATCATACCAGTCGCCTCCGGACTAAATGATCGGTATGTGGCCTTTGTTTTTCTCTTGAGCTTGATTCCTGTTGAAGTGAACGAACCCATCATGCGCTTCCAGATCAATTGGCATCAGTCGCGAACATTTTTTCTTGTCTATCGTCTAAATACTTGGGTCGACGTGGTCGTAATTCGCCATAGGACTTCCTTGAAGTGTTTCTGGCCGCTCGTGTAGCAAGCCCTACATCAACATTTCAGTGCTATGCATTTTACGCTACCAGTAACCAAAAGACCAGCACAACAAATCCGGTAACAAATTTATCTCTGCCTGTGCTGTCGCCGATTTTCATCGATGTCGTGGTCTTTGGACATTCATGTGCCACATTGTGCGCTGGTGCGCCATGTCGCAACAGCAATGACAATAATAATTCCATTCATATCGTTACACGATTCTCCTTTACACAGACCTCTGGTATATCCTCTTGGGTACATTCTCATGGAAAAGATTTCATGAAGTACGCACTATCCGTCTTACCCGCCCCAATCAGTTGACAGCTATACCCTTCAAATAATCGACACGGTAAGGGTTCTCATCTGTCGCGTCACCGCGGTTTAAAGGAGTCCACTTGGGCTCATCCTGTGAAGGTTCCTCGTAAAGCCCAAAAGTAAAAAAAAACACCAGCAATTGCGAACCTTGAAGAGACGCAAAGCTTTGATCATGTTTTTCTCGTCAAGAGTGAACCGATGATAGATGCCAGCGGGGAGAACTAAAAGATCACCCGCGTCCACCTGGCAACGAATCCATGAATCTGAGGGATGCTCTGTACGACGAACTATCAGATTATAGCATGGAATGTGTTGACGCTCTACTCGCCTCGAACATCGAAAAAGCCACTGCCCTCGAGAATATATCTGATCTCCTCGTCTTCATGCATGTGTCTGGTATTCAATTCGTTGGTGAGTTCGGGCACGATGTTTTGAAAGCAGAGCGTACTCTTCATAGAAGCTCTTTAACTTTGACTCATACAGATCTCCAAGGCCCTGCTTGGTGATTGTGATAGTGTCTCTGTTCTTGTAGCATCTTTCTTTCGCAACAGCTTCAATCTGAACCTGTTGGCTCGTCGGGATATGCCAGTGTAGTACTCCGGTAGACTTCAGGATCTCATCTGACACAGGGTTTCCGGAATCGTGCGGCAGCCGCTGGTCGCCTGGAACATTATCGAAGTAGTACGCACGCATAGTAGTGATGGTGTATCGATGTGGAGGCTATGCCAAGTGTAGGATCGATCTCAAATCAGCATTATGTAAGAACACCGTGACCCTTTCCGCCGGGCCTTAGGAAATTGCCGCATCTGTGCCGCACCCTGCTGCACCCTACTCAACAATGTCTTATATGCCTCTAAAATGCGTCTACGTCGTACGCAACTGTCTGAAATATGATTTAAGAATAAGTAATACTATATTCCAGGTGTTTGTGTAAGGCTAACAGTGGTACTACAGTGATATATGTACTTGATGGGTGCGGCAGTGATGCGGTAGGGTGCGGCAATTCTGTAATCGGGTGCGGCAATTCTGTAGTTGGGTGCGGCAGTGGCTGTGCACTACCGCACCACTGCACCGACACCAAACCACGCATCTTATCAACTCCACTTGCAGCACCGTTACCAGCAGCTGCGCGAAACTTGGTGAGACAACTCAACGACCCCTCACACAGGCTCGCGCCTGTCAGGTTTGGCGCCTCGATGCCTCCGCCTATCATTCAACACCTGTCTTTGCTGGTTGCATGCCTTGCCTGACTTCCCTGTCACACATCTCCTCGACCACGTTCTGCAGCAACCTGTGCAAACGGATACCGGTGCTTTAAGGTATGTATGTCATATCTGTGTGGCCTTTTGTCCTTGCAAACTGAGTCTCGTTCATTTCAGAGTACAAACTACTACTACGAGGCCCCAGCCTATGAAGCCTTGTGTATCTTCCTTGGTCGTGGCCGCGGTTTGGTTTTTTTGGTGCGTTTCTCTTTCTTAACTATGTCAGGCTCACTTCCCTCGCTAAAGTTCGGTCCACACTATTAGTCGAACCATGTCAGACTGATCCGCGATGAAAGCGATGATGACGCACGTCTACTTCTCCTTCAAATTCTGGTGCGTATGAATCCCGGTCGCCATGATTCTAGTGCTCAGGGAGGCCCTCATAGGGATTCCATCGGTCTTGGTGTGCACCAGCGTCTTTTTCCCATTGTTCATTTCCTGCAGCTCCTGCAGCCAACGAGAGCTCGAACATCTGCTGTTCCAGTATGCCAAGACACTCCAAGTCGATGTCTATATCCATCGAGGTCAGATCATAGCTGAGTTGGAGGTCAAGCCAGGCAGCCTGGAGCATCGTGTTTTCTTGCTCTTCGGGAGTAGGAACTGAGTTCACGTCAGGTCCTGACGAGCGACGTTCAATGAGGATATTTTGGGCTGGCTCCTGGAGTAAGTTTTTCTTGCGCTTCGAAACTCCCTATAGCCTACTTGAAGTTTGAACGATTCACAGATTACAACTGGTTGTACCAACGAACTTCTTAACTCATCCACTCAGGCTTGCCATCTACTGTTATACGGGGGCTTCGTAAGTCCATTTCTAACATAGATAAAATATAACTTGACAGGCTTTGTCCAGCTGTAGGCATGGGCACTCGCGGGTACTACGTGTACCGCTATCGAAACATGTACTTTGCTTACTACAACCATTGCGATTCTTATCCGGACGTCCTTGGCGCATACATGGTTCAGTCTATGCGGTCTCCCCGTGCCATCACAAGTAAGCGGGAGGAGTTGACACGGATGTTGGACAAGAGGGAATACACTCAGAAATCTGAAGAATTCACTATTTCAAGCAGACGGCCACAAAATAACCTCTTTATCGAGTGGATCTACGAGATCGACCTTGATCGCAACATTTTTCACGTGAACGGCATACCATTCTTCAACTTGGAATGCCTTCCAGACACAAAGTCTTTCCGCAAGTACATCCCCGAAGGACATTACGACAATTACGGCCGCATAGCTTGCACACCAGGATGTCTTCCTAAGCACAAGTACAAGCTGCCAGCGCCACCAGTTGTAGATGATTCCGACCTCGCGAGGTATCAATCTTTGGCGTGCACAGGCACTGACGTGGCTTTGAGCGATCTGCTCGCCATCAGCGAGGTTTCGTCCCCAGATGAGCAGGTTCGCGTTTCATTATTAGAGGTAACGATTGGGCAGTGCATGGTCAAACTCGACCGTATATATGATCGTCCATTCATTTGCCAGTTAATTTACGACTTCGAGCTCATGCCTCATCACAATCAACTAAAGGACAAAGAATGGTCGGGCGCATGCTCCATGGCCAGCTTTGCCTTTGTTCCTCAATTGTTTGACGGGCCGTCCATTCACCACCCCGGATTGAGTAGGGGGGAGTTTACATGGGTTCGCGAAGACACCGTTGTTTGCATCGCAACCCATCTAGATGACGAGAGATGCCTGCAGGCCTCCATCTCTCGCCTTATTACCGCAATCTCGGAGCAGAAGGATGTTCCAGGTGATTACTTTGGGGTCGCATTCTCCATTTACCATTGTGCAATCGTCAAGGTTGTGAAAGATGCAAACACGACGACGTTCAGTCACACGCACGCCCTCCAATTTTTGCCATCAAATTTCGCAGAATCTCCTTCTACGCCGGGCATCACTGCTCTTGCCCGCCTTGCCAATCGCATCGACCCTGCACTCTTTGTGCGTGCTATGAAGATCTGTCGTCGGCCCGGTTCAACGACGGACAAGGAGAACGAACTCACTCAGGAAGGTAATGATGCACCCAATGTCAATTGTGCAGCGCTGCCTTCTGAGCTTTGGCGAGAGATCGCTCTTCATCTTGATCTTCAAGACGTCCTCACCCTGGGGTTAATTTCGAAGCTATGCCGTGAAGCAGCCTCAATGGTACTCCGCTATCCCCACGTCTGTGGTCGCCGTTTGGTCGCTGTCTCCAAAGAGACACCAAGCAGTCTACTACAACGCCACCGCTTTTTGTATGCTGCATCGTTTGCTGCTGCACGAGCAGGGGTTCCTATTGATGTGCTTGTCGGATGGGGGTTTGGCGAAAGTGAGATTATGAACTTCCCGATTGATAGTTTGAGAGTGTGCATCTCGGACAGTCAAGCAGGAGGGGAGGAAAACGTGGTTGAACTCGGGGACAACAGCAACTTTGACGAAGACGAAGACGAAGACGATTTCGACGATAACTAGTACTCCGATGTCTAGTGGAGCTTTTGACCGTTCGCCGTGCTGTACAGTACCTAGCACACAATAAACTAGATCGTCTGGTGATAAATGCTGCGGGAAAGAGCACGATGTCGAATTGCGTCTATTGTTTATAACCAGAGCTACAAGTGGTTCATCTCTGTCGTCCGTCCGCAATGAGAGGAAACAATAGACCACCGTTCAACCAAGCTCATAACCCGACTCGTCCGCATTACCTTGCTTCAATTTTGTCCCCGCGATAAACGAAGCCGTGGCCGCCTGTAGGAGAGGTGCATACCAATGTGGGGTATTCACAGCGGAGCTGGGGAGAACATCTGCAGTCGTTGTACTTATATTACCACCTAAGATGCTGATTCGTAGACATCGTTGTGCGTGCTATTGTGCAATCAAGAGGACGGGACCTACGAAGAAAAATGACTGTTTGTACAACAAGTAGAGATCTGATGAGAGATAGCATTCCATAAGATGTCACTTGCACTATTCAAGGCCGAGGCGCTGTCGATGCCCAGGTGGGGGTCGACTATACAGAGTGTAAGAGGGAAGTCAACGACATTTTGGTCGTGTGTGCGTGTGACCCAACTTCTGCCTACATCCAATCTGACCAAGGTCTTGAACTAGCACTTCGGGCTTGCATGTCCAGCGAACTTGATAATGCCCTTGTCGAACTTGATATACCCTGGAGGGTGTCATTATCCAAATGGATGCATTTGGAATGAGAGTTGCGTGATTCCTACAAAATTATCACACTGGGTGCGCTAGTCTTTGCATAAAGCATCTGGCATTTCTGCGTGGTCTGCTCAGCATGAAGGGGGAGGCTGAATGGAACATTTTCCCGGGGGGGTGGACGAGCTGCGACAGAGATAACAGAAAGGCGGCCTCGGAAATGACACACAGCATAGTATACCAAAGCCTCAGTCCACCCGCCTTGTTCACCGGCGGTCGACCGGTGAGTGTGCGACTGGGTCCATTCTCAGGAAACGACAAAATCACGAGAGCCAGGAACCGCAAGTAACACCATATCCGCAAGAAAGAACAACGACGTGTCAAAATCCATTCGTGAGGGACAAAATTCTTCGATTTTTTCGAGCAAGGTACGGATAATTCTGACCCGATATTTGCAATGTCTGATATGCAGATTAACATATCTCGGCCGAAAAGTTATGGGCGCTGAACACTTCGAAAATAGAGACATGCTCACAATTACTGGGAGACATCGAAGATTTGTACGAGTTCGAGTTAAAGAGCATCCATAACGAGTTTGCAAACCTTGATGGTTTTCGAGCTAGGTAACGGCAATAGCCTGGCAGGCACATGCACAAAGACGCGAAGATAAGGTAACTGTGTTCTTGAGGGCAGTGGCTTTTTCGATATTACGGGTGAGTATTAGCCTGTATCAACACACATGCACTATGCATCACTTCCTAATTCTGTCCGTCGTCAGTTGGCCGCCGTGATCTCATGCTCTCTCTGCTAGCATTCTATGATTGGTTCGCTGATGAACAGAAGAACGTGTTCAAAGCTATGTGGTACTTCGAATGACTCTCACCGGGACTGAGCGAGCGAACTTGAGTGGAATCCTTGTAATTGCGATGACGCGACACATAGCGAACCCTTAGGGTATCCAAAGATATCCCTGGGAAGTCTTGCTGTCAAAACAAATGAGCTAAAGAGCATATCAAATGTACATCCAAAAGGGATTTCTGCGATGAAATTTACCTCCTTTAGCTAGGGTCATGTGGTTGTAGGTGATACCCCACAGGCAGCTGTCGAGGTTATTGAATAGTTTAATATAGAACTACGGTGGCTGACATGTGTCCTATAAGAGTCCTGAGCATTATTGTCTTCCTAGGATTTGACAACTGCACATACCTCAGGTAACCTCAAGTTCATCGCGTGATTCGGATAGTCTAGAGAACGGTTTCACCCTGTACTTTGTAACCCCCGTCTCCAAAAGCTCAATTTACTCTCGATCTTCATGTCGTCCGAGTTGAGGATGGCCTGCAGATTCGGAGAAGAGCTCGGCAATTGTAGTATAGTAGCCTATGCTAGATGTCGGAGTTAGAGGGTAGACTCATCAGGCATTTCACAAGAGTATGAGTATGAGATATATATGCAGCTATTCGTATATAGCGAAGAAAATATAAATGCACTGAGAATTTGGCAGGCCTCAAGAGGTACTACACACGCTGGTGGCACAGACCTATAGTCTATTTATAAGTTGGCAATTGGTATTTGCTAGCATTCTGGGCCGTGGGAGTCGGGGAATATTCGTGAGCGCTTCCAGCGGCTGCAGCTGAGCTTCAATGGCTACGTAGTCGAAAAGAAAAATCAACCCAAGCTAGTTGCCACGTCGAATATTGCCGGTGTCCACGAACTTATCATATGTTCAACGTTCAAGTCAACGTTTCTTCCAAGCCCATGCCTGCCCATTGCGCCCCGTCATTGTATGGATCGTAGATTCCTTGTGGTTTATTACAGTTGGTCTCTTCTTCGGCCTCGACAAACAGGGCATGCTGACTTGTTTTTTGTCGTCCGAACACCGGAGTCGGAGGTGTCTACTGCTCTGGAATTGTAAATGTATGATAGATCAAGAGGTTATCCACCAATCACAGCATATACCATCTATACGGTTAGATCCAACTTTTATGGCTGTTCATCAGAGCTGTCTTAGTATGACACTTTTTCACTGCCCCCAAGCACGATCGCAACAGAGGTGGAAAATCCACTACAGCGGCCCACCCACACAGAGGTCACTATCAGGTTAGCCCCTACTAGGAAACGGCGTTCTCAACGATACGGCACTAGACTAATCAATTTGCTGTGCTCGGACTCCGGAGCCTCGAACTAACCTCATGATAGTGTTTAGCTCTGAAACTACGAAACGGATGCTCTGTAACCTTTTACGCGGTCGACGATGAAAGATGTGCGTCCATATTTTATTGAACAAGTACTATTGTTTAAATCGCTGCTTGCAGAAACTGATTTGAAAATGTAATAGATTCATCTAAAGCGTCTTTTTGGCATCATGACCTCAGCATTTCTGAAATGAGAAGTCAGGACGGGACAATGACAACACTAATGGCGCAAAGACGTGGGTACCACTCATCATTGCCACGATCATCCTCCGCAACCATCCTGGATCTCCAGGGCCAACCTTATTAGCCTGTTTTCTTGTCGTCCTGTGCGAGCCTGTGCGCTGCTTTACACTAGTTTTCTGTCACTACAACCACAAGTCCACTAGCTTGAATCCGAATCGGCAATGACCTTGCAATTTCTTCAGCGCCCCGAGGTCCGTCTATTGCCTCTTCATGCATAAAAAGTACATCCAGTCTCCTTCCATTGGCATCCATTAGCCTCTTATTCTTTTCCTTCTTTCTGATAGAGCACATCAACTTAAATTTAATCACTCGTAACACATAGATTAGTATCGCAATGTCTGCAGCACTCCCAGTCACCCTCCACGACGTTCTCTCTCAAGCCACTGAGCGGTACCCTTCGCACGAGCTCGGATTCATCACATCTTCCGCTCATGACTCTTCCATTCGAGCGACGACATTCAGCTCCTTCAACCAATATGTGCGCAACCTGGCCCGCGCCATGCTCGATTGGGAAAAGCCCGCTGGCTCAGTTATCGTTGTCTACCTGACTGAGCACGAGGACAACATGGCTGCAGTTTGGGCTTGTCTCCTTGCAGGCTACGTCCCGTGCTTACAACCTGCCCTTAGTGCCCAGCAGGCTCACAAGGAGGGCCATGTCGCTCATATCAAAAATCTATTTTCGTCTGCTATCTGGCTCACTAATGAGTCCGGTACTGACCAGGTGAATTCCATCACCGGTTTGGAGATTTACCTTCTTTCGGAGCTCAAGACGTCAGCTTCGAAATACCACGTTCCTACCGACTGGGTCGCCCGTACCGCCCAACCAGATGACGAGGCAATACTATTTCTGACCTCCGGCTCAACTGGCTTCTCCAAAGCAGTTGTTCACAGCCATCGCACTATTTTGGCCGCTTGCTCCGCTAAAGGAGAGGCTTATGGTTTGACTCCGAATACCAACGTACTTAACTGTAAGTCGTCTCAATCGCTGTCGTGATCGATGCTTACGTTCTTTCAGGGGTTGGATTCGACCATGTCGCGGGTTCCTTGGAAATGCACATTACCCCTTTGATGTTTGGCGCCTCTCAAATTCACGTCCATGCATCTGCTATTCTCTCCGACCCACTTCGTTTCCTCCGTTTGATCGACGAGAAGTCCATCAACGTTTCCTTCAGCCCCAACTTCTTGCTCGCGAAACTCACTCGGGATTTGGAGAAGAGGTCCGATCTCATCGGAGCCTTCGACCTTTCTTCCATCAAGCGCATCAACAGCGGAGGGGAGGCTGTCATTTCCAAGACTGCTCAATCATTTGTCGCTGTCCTTAAGAAGCTTGCGAAAGACCCTGCTAAGGTTTCTTTCGTTATTTCACCAGGATTTGGTATGACTGAGACTTGGTGAGTTGTTTTTGGACTACATTGAGATCGTTAAACTAATATGAATTTAGCGCTGGGTGTATCTATGAGCCGGTGAATCTCAGCACCACAGAGCCAAAACATGAATTCCTCGACTTGGGCCGCCCCGTACGGGGTTGCGAGATGCGTATCGTCGACCCTGAAGACGGCAAGACGGTCCGTAGGGATGGAGAGAGTGGTGAATTGCAGGTCCGCGGTCCTATGGTTTTCCTTCGTTACTACAACAACGAGGAGGCCACTTCCTCCAGCTTTGTCGAGGGTGGTTGGTACCGCACCGGTGATGTCGGCATTATTGAAGACGGTGTTATGCGTCTCAGTGGCCGCATCAAAGACACTGTTATCGTCCATGGCGTGTCATATGGTATTCCCGAGCTTGAGACGCACCTCCAGACTGTCGAGGGTGTCACGCACTCCTTTCTTGCTGCTGCTCCCTACCGTGCACTCGGGCAGGAGACCGAAGGGTTCATTATCTTCTACTCTCCTACTTTCGATCTTAACGGAGAAGACGCTTCCACGAAACTTTTCGCCACGCACCGCGCCCTCCGCGACATCTCTGTGAAGATGATCACCCTCCCTCCTCAGTTCATCATCCCCATTCCCCTCAACCAGATGGAGAAGACTACACTGGGAAAGCTTTCGAGAGCCCGCCTTGTTGGCCTCTTCAAACAGGGTGAACTTGCCAAGCACATAGCTCGCGCTGAGGAGCTTCTGAGCGAGGCTCGTGGCGCTTCATTTGTCACCCCTTCCACAGAGAGCGAGAAAGTTCTTGCCAAGATTTATGCTGGGATCTTCAACCTCAGCGAGAACGAAATGTCTGCAAGTGACAACTTCTTCGAGCTCGGCGGCACTTCAATCGATGTTATCAGGTAGGGGCAATGCAACATATTGGATAACGAACACCTCTCACGTTTCTTTCTATCAGACTCAAGCGCGAGGGTGAAGCGCACTTCGATTTGCCTGAGATACCTACTATCCAAATCCTCAAACACCCTGTCATTTCCAGCCTGGCGAATTACATCAACGCTCTCATCTCAAAGGACAGTACCGCCGAGGAGTATGACCCCATTGTTCCCTTGCAGCTCACTGGTGACAAGACACCTATCTTCTTCGTTCACCCTGGTGTCGGTGAGGTTCTCATATTCGTCAACCTCGCCAAGTACTTCCAGAACGAGCGTCCCTTCTATGCTCTTCGTGCTCGCGGTTTCGAGCCAGGTCACCCCTTCTTTACTTCCATGGACGAAATGGTGTCTACCTACGCTGCTGCAGTAAAGAGGACTCAACCCACCGGTCCTTACGCCATCTCTGGTTACAGTTACGGTGGTGTCGTCGCTTTTGAGGTCGCTAAGCGTCTCGAGGCCATGGGTGATGAAGTCAAATTCGTCGGTCTCATCAACATCCCCCCTCACATCGCCGATCGTATGCACGAGATCGATTGGACTGGTGGCATGCTCAACCTATCGTATTTCCTTGGTCTTGTGACAAAGCAAGACGCTAATGACCTCGCACCCACTTTGAGACCTCTCTCGCGAAAGGAGCAACTGGCGGTCGTCTGGAAACTATCGCCTCCCGACCGTCTTATCGAGCTTCAGCTCACGCAAGAGAAGCTTGACCACTGGGTGGACATTGCTGGTTCCCTAATCGAATGTGGCAAAGATTACAACCCGGGAGGCTCGGTCTGTGAGTACCTTTGATCCCCTAGCTTTGTTCTCTCACTAACGACCGCGTAAAGCCGCTCTTGATGTCTTCTACGCCATCCCCCTGCGCGGAAGCAAGGCTGATTGGCTCAACAATCAACTCAAGCCTTGGGACGGCTTCAGCCGTGGCCAGGCCTCATACACTGATGTCCCTGGGCAACATTACACTCTCATGGACTTCGACCACGTTCCCCAATTCCAGAAGATCTTCCGCAGCCGTCTCGAAGCTCGTGGTCTATAAGACTGCGTGCGGATGGCACGGTCAAAAGCTTGATACGGACTGATTTTCTGCACGCATGCTTTATGTATATTACTACCTTGCTCTGACATCGTATTCTTGTAGTGTCGTCTGTAAAAAATGCTTTAGTAATGGATCGATAGGTTATAGGTGATGTCATCATTAGTGATACTCATTATCAGCCTGAACCCGATCGAGCAACAGCAACAGTGGATTGTTCTGGCAAAGCGTAAGGAGCGTGCTAGTAGTGTCCACAAGTCACGATCAGTACCGAAGATGAGCAGATATCACCACGGGTCCATGGTGGATCGGTTATGATGCATGCTCAAATGAGTTAGGATGCATCACAAACTGAATTTGCTAGAAGCGCACGGCGCGCAGAAGCTGACTGCCAAGCGCATATCAACAGGGAGTCCATTTCGTCTTTGCATTTAAGTATCATGTAGATATGTAAAAGTTCGACTACCCGCCAGCATACTTTGTACATCAAGATCTGTTGTGACTGCACAGTGAATAACAGAGTCATGAAGCATCCATTGCAACTCTGTATCACCAGAAATGCCCAACCTAAGCAGTCACCAGACCCAATTTGCCTCGTTCCAAGACAGCTTTGAAACCAAAGTGTTGCTCGACACCAAAGTTCTCCGTGGGGTTGTACATCGAATGAATGGGCTTTCGCGCGTTGATCTCACTCAAAACAATCTTAGCTTCCTCATCAGCCTCGCCGAGCAGGCGGTCGATGTCGCATTCTGTCATGACGGGTGCGTCTGGGGATGTTAGAGCAGGATCCAATCTATTGAGTTTAGTATTGGATAATCCGGTTGAAAGGACGAGAAACCCCTACCTAGCTTTGACTGCAGAATGCATCTCGGGATCAGTCGGTGCAAATAGATGACGACAGAAGTCCATAGTTTTCTGTGAATCGGATTGAGACTGTAATGGAAGATAACCACAGAACATACGTACCTGGAGTTCGTTTTCTGTTAACGCCTTTCCAACATCTGCTGTTCCTTGAATCACTGCACTCGGGTATCAGAATTCACAGTGATGGAAGGAAACGTCAATGCTCACCCGGCCTAATGAGATCAAAGGCTCTGTCAAAATTGTCTTCGTCCACGTCGCTCATGACTGGCATAGTCTGATTGCGGATCTGTTTATAGATCCCAAGGACGACGATAAGAAACCTACAGCATACACTTTGTTAGTTGTTAGCGCTCCAATGATCAATTTCACATGCCTCGTGTAAGACGTGGCAATTTTTGAGGTGTGCCAACGTTGGGCATCCTCTTCACTGCAGAGTCCTCGGATCGACGCGGCGATCGTGATAGCAGCCGAAAGTCCTCCTGTGAAGGCCAAATGGACACCAGAGGAGAAGAATGGATCAATGAACGCTGGATCATTGTCAATTGCGGGTACCACAAAACACCAGAAAAATACCTCCAGCATCCCCCGCCAGGCGGAAATGATCCCCGGCATGAGAGGGAGCAGAGTAGCTAAAATCGCTGGCAGATTTCACAGCTTCTGAAGTACCGTGGTTGCGAAGAGTGCCCTTTCCGATCAATTTGAGGACTCCAGGAGCTCTGCTTAATTCTTCCTTATAATGAATCAGAAGATTTGAGCGAGATTCTCCTGCAGTCGCACGGGAAGCCTTCTTTTTACGGGTGCTTGACTCTTGATCCATCACAATTCCCACAGATGTAGATCCATCGTGAAGAGGGATGAACCAAGCCCATCCAGACTCATCTGCAGAGATTAATCTTAGCGTGACGGCTTCGAGTCGCTTTCATACCTTCAAGTGCTTCGACCCAGATAGCATTCTGGCGAGTGGTACCTGGCATGTAACACCCGGTTCCATCCCAGTATCCCCAGCAAGCAACGTTGTTGAGGGCCTGATTATAGCGTCTGTTCTTGAGATACTTTGTGGACATGATCCCGTTCTTTCCTGACGCATCAACTAGGTAGGTGAAAGAGATACGGCCCTCTATTCCAGTGCTGGCGTTCTTCCAGTTGGCTGAAACAGGTCTTTCGCCCTCGAACTGAAGTTCAGTGACTCTGGTGTTGTCGAACACAGTTGCGCCACACTTCGAAGCATGACGAAATAGCAAATCGTCGAATTCTGATCGAATCTGCAAAATGGTGAGATAGTAAGCATATCTCCGATATATTACGGACCACGTTCCAAGACCCATTGTTTGGGTCTAGCGTAATGAAATCTGTATCTGGCGCAAAGAATCAATATAACCACGATGATGAATGAGGGGACTGGGGCTCACATCCTTCTCGCTTGAACTGATTCAACTTGGCTGCAGCACCAGGCTATAAGAGGGTGTCCGTCTAATGTACCCCGACACATTAAAAGACTGTCCACACCTTAACCGTGAACCCGTAGTTCTTGATAGATTCCTCTGCATCGATAAATGCTAAGAAAGGGCGGACCGAGGGGAGCAGGCTCTCGCCAATATGGTATCTGGCACAATTATGTATTAGCGACCGAGTATACGGACGAATTATGTGCTGACCGAGGGAAATTCACAGCTTCGAGAAGAGTGACTTCAAAACCTTCTCGAGCCAAAGCAGCAGCAGCGTAACTTCCTGCGGGTCCGCCGCCGACAACAAGTATTTGAGTTGAGGCTGGCTAGCCAGTATTTCAGCCTTCGCTGTAGAAGAATATATGAACCACTCACAAGTGTTTGAATAGCCATTTTTGTGAAGGGGATTGTATGAAAAGGAAAGGTTGCTATTCCTTTATATATGTCCGCTGGTCACTTTGTCAATCAACTATGGGTAGGATTGACATGGCGGACCCGCATCGGGCCAGCCTATCTTGGGTGTGAGTGGATCTGCGGTTGGATACGCAGGTGACAAATGAGCTGCCCCCACTGATTGTAAATAAATTCTCGTATCGCCGTTTACATTCATCCCAACGGTTCGTGCCAGCCTGCCAAGGCGTAGTGGTCATTGCCAAGAAATCAACAAAAAAACCTCTCATGCCACCGCATTGACAAAATATTCTTTGCGACCGAAAACTAGGAATGACCTCCTTTTGTAAATTGCTAGTGGGATATCAAATCATGTTACAATGGCTCATCACGAGGCGGTAAGATGGTTCGCCAGCAGTGAATCACTTACACGAATCAAGGGTGCGTGTGATGATGCTTTGGATAGAATGCTGAGCATGCGCAGGAATGTAAACATAAATGATGACAGAATCACAAGTTTGAAGGCCAACTCACTCTTGTCTTGTCCTGCCAACCTCCCAAACAACGACATCATGTCCGAACACACCCAGTCGATCCCCGCGTCATTCGAAACGTCAAGCACACTGATAATGTGTTGATGGAGAAGGACGTTTTGTGCGGACGAGTTGAAGGACGGAGACAATCAGAGGGTGGCTAGAGATGAAGTTCCGGTCGACAGTAAATATCGATGGTACTTGGACGATGAAGTTTTACATGTGCAAGCTGGTGCCACTCTAGAATGTCGCCACTGGCGGGATGATATCAATACAAGGACTCCCGTATGGCGTGTCCCCTCGCGTTCTCACTCTTGATCACGCTGTGTATGATTGACCGTGATACAGCGGCAACACAGCACCGTCAACATAGCGGCATGACGTGGTGGATGCAATAGACAGCGAACCCGTAACTTATTTGTGCTAATAATATAATGGCAACGTTAACTTTAACATTGATTCATGAGTTTGATCTGAGTTGTCGTTAGAAATAACACTCACCTAGTCGACAACTGACTTCTACACTACGAGTCCGACTTCCGTGATATCACCTCTTCGGCTCATCAAGTTGCGGTGCGATGTGCGAAGTTAGGACGTAAATTCGTGCTCATGTCAAGGACAACGCGTTTATTATATAGGGATATTGTAAATGGGTTCGGTTAAATGTATGGTTCTGTTACCCCCCAAGGCCCAAAACCAAAAACGTGTGTGTGTTCTATAGAAATTTACTAACATATAGACAATAAAACTATCAACATAAATGATACATGAACCCTATATACGGCTAATATTTACACATAGGTACGAAGAAACACTCAGTGATGATGGACAACATGAGAGTTAATGATTAATATTTTGTATTGATATCCACGTAGATGTCAATAGAGGTCCGCAGATAGGCCTATCATGAACAGCGGACCATAATGGAAATCGACACAGACAATATATGAACATAGTATTATGTATACACACACAAAAGTATTGTATAGATACACACACAAAATGGAAATTGACATAGACAATATAGTAACATAGTAACATAGTGTGTATAGATATATTGGACTCCGGATCGAATACCGGACAGGTGACGTCGTAGACGTCACGCTGAGACATTGCGAGCGCAGTTGGATGACGACGTTTGACGTCGGGCATCGCGCCAACGATGCAAAGTGTCAAGGTCGTATGCTACCATATATTTTTCATCACTATGCTACATTACTTAAATTCACGAGTCTATCCGTCCGAGCATCTCAGTCATTCTACACAGACTGAGATGTAAGCTTATGTTCCCCCCTTACATTATACCAAGCGGCTAACTCGTTCCATAGAATCTATCTAGGTACTATACATTGTATTGAGTCATTCTACACAGACTGAGATAATCTATCTAGTTTTCCCGCTCTCTCGCGTCCCCGCTCGCCTCTGATCACCAGAGGTTATGAGCCCTGCCTCGACCATGGACTCCGCGCTCCCCAGCACCAATTCCGCACTATTCAACGTCCCCAAGCTAGCCGAGGATGGCAGCAACTGGATTACCTATAAGGAGAGAATGTTGACTGCGATTGCTGCCCGAGGTTTGATGCGTTATGTCGACGGTCGAGCAGTACAACCGACTCCGTTCAAAATCGATCTGAAGACGAGCGCCCTGTCGAAGCCAGACGGTTCGCCAGCTACGGAAGCGGAGGTGGACGAATTAGATAAGAAAACGGATGAGTACTTCCAGAAAGACTCACTCGTCAAGCAGCAGATGTTCAGTACGATCACTGATCGACTGTTACTGCGCGTGCAGAAGCTCGAGGGCTCTGCGAGAATCTGGAAGGAGATACGCGATATCCACGAAGGCAAAACTGAGCTGGTTCAGATTGACCTTCGTAGACGCCTACAAGAGGTCAGATGCGACGAGAACGGAGACGTTAAAGCTCACTTTAGCGAGCTACTCCGTCTACGAGAGTCCCTAGCGGGCATGGGGGCTGATATAGAAGACCGCGACTTCTACGCGATCACGCTCGGCTCGCTCCCAGAATCGTATCGACCCTTGCTATCCTCCATAAACGCTGCCGCGAAGATCGCGCAGAAGCCGTTATCGCCCTACGAATTAATGAATGTCGTTAGCGAAGAGTATTTATTAGGCCTTTTTGTAAGTAGGTTAGGGTCAGGTTCAGGTTCACCAGCCTTTTTTGTAGTGTACATTACTGTATAATCACACTTCTTCGAACATGAAGACCAAGTATCTACCACACATGATTGATATGTCTGGTACAACGCACATCTGGATACGATGCTAGATGCGCATTTTTTGTTCCCACGGTTGTGTTGTATGGTGCGCATCCAGATCTGGTTCTAGATCCGCACTGCATACACATACACATACATTGTATCAACAACAGTACACAATGTTCCGACACTGGTACGACACGTATCTAGTTTTGATTTTAGATGTACACTGTCGTTGATACATGTGTATGATGTCATGTTATACCTTGCGGATCTAGAACCAGATCCAGATGCGCACCATACCAGAGACGCGTGAGAACACCAAAAACGCGCATCTAGATACGATTCTGGATGCGCGTTTTTTTGTTCCCACGCTGGTACAATGTGTACTGTGGTTGAGACATATGTGTAGAATATCATGTTCATACCGTGCGGATCTAGAACCAGATCTGGATGCACATGATACAATTCATGTTTCATGCAGATGTGATTCTACATTTGCATTGTGTAAATATGATAACTTACACATATATATGTATCAAGGAGTGCACATCCAGAATCGTATCTAGATGCGCATTTTTTTGTTCCCACGGGTGTGTTGGATGGTGCGCATCCAGATCTGGTTCTAGATCCGCACGGTATGAACATGATATTCTACACATATGTCTCAACCACAGTGCACATCCAGAATCATATGCAGATGCGCATGTTTTTGTGCCCACACTGGTACAATATGTGTACTGTCGTTGATACAGTGCGGATGTAGAACGAGATCTGGATGCGCATCAGACAATTCATGTTTGTTCGCAAAGTTCAACTGATACTTGCCAAAATTTGTGAATCCAGACATTCAGTGGGACTCTGAATGCAAATATGGGTCGCGGTAGGTTGGCATTGTGACTTTACGTTAGAAGGCTTGCCTGAATGCAGCCTCATCCGTATTACGCGAGGCTTTATGTATTAGGGCCTAAATCCACCTACAATATATATGTCGGGAGGCTTTATGTATTAGCGCCTAAATCCACCTATAATATATATGTCGGGAGGCTTTTATGTATTAGCGCCTAAATCCACCTATGATATATATGTAGAAATCATGTTTATGTTTATGCAGTGGGGATGTAGAACGAGATCTGGATGCGCACCATACAACACAAGGGCGGGAAGAAAAAATGGGCATCTAGATATGATTCTGGATATGCACTGTGGTTGAGACCTATATGTGCGATATCATGTTTACACGATGGAAATGTAGAATGAGGTCTGGATGGGCATACAAGGGCACCCCGCAACAAGAGGGTCATGTGAGCCTTTTAGCATACCGTACATGGTACTGTTTATCTAATTGTGCTGCCCACAGATTGTTGTATGGAAAACAGATCAAGAATGTACGAGATGCAGACATGGGGGTAAATTTTATTCTGGCAGATTGCATCTGGAATGTGGTGGGAGAGAGGCAGGGAGCACTGGACTCTGGGATGTGGTAGGGTGATATGACGTGTGATATGAAGGGGACTTGACTGGAGGTAGGGGCAAGCTGGCAGGCTGATAGCACTGCTGTGCTCTGGATGAGTTTATTTCGGGGCAACGAGGTAAAAGATGTAAATAAGTAAATAAGTAAATATGTCAGGTTATGTGGCTCGCTGAGAAACTGAATTGATGAGATCTCCGGATCTCTGGTTTCTCGAGGTCGAAGGGAAACGATGCTCCAGCTTTCACGACTGTGGCAACTTGTTGGATCTTCCCTCTGTATCGTGGTCGAGATGGGTTTCTACATATATGCATGGTGTAAGCATGATATCGTAGACATATGTCGACGGGAGGGAAAAGACAAATGGTACGGAGGGAAGATCCAACAAGTTGCCAGAGTCGTGAAAGCTGGAGCATCGATTCGCTTCGAGCTGGAGAAACCAGAGATCCGGAGATCTCATCAATTCAGGTTCTGATGGAGAGGTGCACTGTGGTCGAGACATATGTGTACGATATCATGTGTACAGGATGGAAATGCAGAAGCAGACATGGATGCGGATCATAGCGGACATATGATTGATATGGCGGGTAGGACGCACATCCAGATCCGATCCTACATTCGCATCGTGTACACATGATATCGTACACATATGTGTCGACGACAGTGCACATCATGGGTGGATGGAAGAGAAGGGCGCACATCCAGAGTCGTATCTAGATGCGAGGATTTTTGTTGCCACGGTTGCGTTGTGGAGTGCGGATCCAGATCCAGATCTAGATGCGCAAAGCATACACATAAAGATGATAATTCTACATATATATGTGTATCAACGAGAGCGGAGTGATGTAGAATGCAGTGTGGATGGGCGTTGTACCAGCGCGAGAACAAAAAAAACGCGCATCCAGAGTCGTATCTAGATGCGCGTTTTTTGAGTTCTCACGGGTGTCTGGTACGGTGCGCATCGAGTTCTGAACTGGATGCGCAGGGTATCTATATCAACATGTTATGAAGGACAGCAGAGATCTACTAGGAATGAGTGGGGATGCGAATGTAGTCGTTCACAAGCATGCAGATAGACGCCTCATTATAAAAAAAGGTATGAGTCGAGCACTTACTCTCTGGGATCATTATGATTGTCAGTGAACTCGGGGACAGCCATTTGAATAAGACTTGTAAAATTTCCTAGCGCACCTGTGAGCGAGAAGCAGGCACGGAAGCATTTTCTTGTGCGCGTGGCTGTAGATGCAGATGTACAGAATTGCCTCGAGGTTGTCCGGATCAAAAGTGCTATATTTACCAACCAGTAAGATTGCATACGATTTGACTTTACGCTACGAGAAGCCGAGGTCAGTCTAAACGCCTAATGCAGGAAGGACTTCAGGGCAGGGAGAGGGGCAGGAGAGGGAACTGATGGCATGAGGTAAATAGATCGATAAAAGATAGCGTTGAAGACACGAACCACTCCGTCTCGAGGAACAGCATCAATGGCACGCAAAGGAAAGAAGAGAGCAGCTGAGGGCGATGACGAGGAAGGGGTTGCTGTGAGTGCAACTAACGGACGGCAGACATAGAAAAAGCTAACAAGAAATACTGACCAAGGCAACGAGGAATGGGGAATCGAGCGGAGTGAAGCTTGATTCGCGACCTATCGAACCAGCGGTGCCCACAGACGAGGCGGCTGAACAGATTCAACGGCTTGACGCAGCGATCGAAAGGGCGAAGATCGGGATAGGAAAGATCAATATTCTGAAGATCGACAACGAGCTGAGGTTCGGGAAATACAACGACCGACCTGAGAGAAAGAGCGAGATAAACAAGATGGTGACGTCGTTCGAAGCGCACGGGATCCAAGCGTTCTCGCAGATCAACGCGCTGCCCATCATAATACATCGATCGCGGTTGAGCGAAGAGCAGACGTTCGAAGGGGAATGGAACGACCCAAGTAAACTGGAAGAAGTGCATATTATGGACCAAGAAGCGATCGTATTCGCATCGGGGCAGCACCGGGTCGCTGCGTTAAGAAAAATGCAGCAAAGGCACTTCGACGAGCACATGCTATACAGCCAGAGATTGAAGGAGCTGCAACAGGCTGGAGAACTGACTTATAGGGTCAAAACAGAAATAGGTTTCAAACTTGTAAAAAAATATCTTTTGGTGGGCTGGTACATATCATGGAGGGTACTTCTGGGATGGATATGAGCCAACAATTAAGAAAAACGGCGGTTCGGTTGTGGAGATATGTCCAAAATACTGATATTTGAGCCTACCTCCCATATCGCATGAATGCCGACCTCTGGAAGGTCTGGGACCATTCCCAATCGATTCAGAGGCCTCAAATACCCTAGGAGAGATGTTTTTAGTATCGGTATTGAGGCGGAACACCGGGATAGTGACATATATGAGGTCAGGAGGAGGGGGAGGACCCTGTATATCTCAGGAACACGATTTTTCCGGGCAATTCTGGCTTCACCATCGTGTTCAGAGGGCTCAATAACCCCCAGGAAAAATGCTTCTGAAGGACAGGCTAGTCATATGAAGTCTAGAAAAATCGATCTTTGGGTGAGGGAGCATGGCCTTGGTGGCCAACTTTGGAAGATGATTTTTAGAGCAAAATCCGGCTCGACCAACGTCTTCAGATGGTCAAATTACCTCAAGAACAAGTCCTAGCTAAAGCCAAGCAAGCCATATGAAGGCTGAAAAAATCGATCTTTGGGTGGGGGGAGGATGTCAGGGGCAGCCAACTTTGGAAGATGATTTTTAGAGGGAAATCTGGCTCGACCAACGTGTTTGTATGGTCCAATAACCTATAGAACAAGTCCTACCTAAAGAAAAGCAAGCCAAATGGAGGCTGAAAAAATCGATCTTTTGGTGGGGAGCATGGCCTTGGTGGTCAACTTCGGAATTTGATTTTCTCATGCAAATCTGGCTTGACCATCCTTTTCAGAGTGTTCAATAACCTCGGAAACAAGTCCTACATCAACCCTTGCGAGTCATATGAAGGCTGTAAAAATCGATATGTGGGGGAGGCCTGCATGCCCTAGGGGGTCAACTCCAGCATT